AAAAAAAAACAACCTGTCTTCATTTTATTGGCTAGACTGGCAGCTTTGTTTTCAGTGGGAACAGCAGACCTGGTGGAAACTCACAGAGCGTGCTCGTTGTCTTTCAGCTCCTTACTGACCTTTTTTCGTTGTTGTTTGTTTTTGCCTCTCCACTACACGCTTTCTCTAGGATGTCATGAGGTGATTAGTGAGTGTACAGTAACTGGTAACAAGTGTGTGTTTGTGTGTGTGTGGTGTGAAATACATGTAATGTGATCAGAAACTTTAAAAAAAAAATCACTTGAGAGGAGAAATTGTTTTTTTTACCATGTGACAGAGGGCATGCAGCTGGTGTGTAAGTGTGCGTGTGTGTTGATGTCAGTGACTATTCGATTAGAGCTGCAAAAGCTGCAGTGGTCGTCCTGTTCACTTTGTAGACTGGCACAAGGCGAATACAGTTTGTTTTTCTTGATTAAACAGTAAAAATTGGACAAGCTTGAAGGTTAACTGAACTTTTAATGACAGAGGGAACCATTGGAGCTAAAATCTAAGAATGTTTGTGGATTTATAAGTTGTTTTTAATGATTCTGCCTTGTGTCACCTACATCGTAACACTCTCCAGTGAAGTATTACTAATACAGCTTTTTAAAATAGTGTTAATGCCAATTTCTTGGTTTAAATGACTTTTTTTTTTGGTTTGTTTGAAAGTCAATGTCAAAGTGTTGTTTTTGTTTCTTTTTCTCCTGTGTCGGCGTTTAAAGTGTTACAGTTGTGATGTCGGCGGCACATGTCCATCTCTGTTTTTCCTCTCCTGTTACACAACGCTTCGCTAACGAGCGGTCACCGCCGAGCAAACACTCAGCTAGCTGCGGATTGATTTTTTTTCTTTTCTTTTCTTTTCTTTTTTCTTTTTTTTTTTTAGGGATTTCAAAAAAATTTGAATGTATTGAATTCAGTTTACGTGTGAACGACTGATTAGTTTTGTTAAGACAGTAGAGATCACAGACTTTTAGAAATGAGGCTCCTCTTTTTCCTCGTGATGACAACCACTGAAGGCCCTTACAGACAGAGAGCTGCCTTACATACAATATGTCGGGTTTTAGGGTTCCTGGATGATGGACTGTGGTTTGACGTAGAGGTTGCTCGATCCAAACTAAAAACAGGAGGTTTCATTCCACCACTAATTCCTTTAAAAGATACTGGCTTAAGCGTAAAATGCTGCATTTACTGAAACAAATCAAAGACCTTTGCTAAGAAAATAGAACAAACTTTTAGTACTACTTTAAAATAACCCATATATACAGAGACTTTACAGTTTATTTACTTCATTCAAATGAATCTAAGGTCCAGAACTGAGGTGCTGCACCGCTTGAAGGAAACAACCTTTGGGTCACACCAGCTTGTGTTTCTGTGAAGTATCCTTTAGATTAAAATGGATTTTTTAAAATCAATCAATCAATCAATCCTCCTGGGAACCGAGAGGAGAAACTTAAGCGTCAAATAAGAGTTGGTGGAGACCAAAACTGAGCTAAAAGCATATTCTGTTGTGTCCCCCTCTTTAGAAACTAAAACAGTTCCCACTCCACATTTTAACTCCTTCCAGTAAAGTCAGCCAGAGTTCAGTTTCTGCATCGTTAGGTCAGCAAAATAAGAACTGTGAAAATAATGATTAAAATACTAGATGCACTATATGGACAAAAGACCTGAGTCAGCTACATGTTACACATGGAAACGCATGCTGTGAAGCTCCCGGCGCACAGTTTTTGTGCTGATGTTAATGTCTATGCCATATCCCTCATCGCTCGGTGACCCCACTCTGTAACTTTATGTGGTCGGGAACTTCGTGGATAAGTTGCCATGGTTACTCCTGTTTAGTAATAGTACTTACAGCTGACAGTGGGATATTAAAGAGGGAAATACTTCAATGGTGGCACCCTGTTACAGCACCTCACTCAAATTCAGTGAGCTCTTTGCCCATTCTTTCAAAGATGTTGTAAAGGCAGACTGTCTGGCTAGATGAATGATTTTTGTGGCAACGGGTCTGAAAACAGTTGAATTCAAACATTAGGAGGTGTGTCTCAATACTTTTGTCCATATAATGTATATTAGGACTCAGTCAATGAGGCAGTGGTTCTTTTCCCCACTACATGGCAACCTCAAAACTATTTGCTAAATGTATGAACTCGTAGTGTTGAAATAGTAGGTTTTTCTAACTTTAGTATGGAAGTGTGGTACGGCATTTTTAAATTTACGAAATTTGTACAATATTTGGAACGAAACCTTCAACTTTTTAACGTAAATTGTAGCTGGGCTCGAGTATCTGCTGTTGGAAGAGACCTCTAATTGAGTCAAAATGCTCTTTGCCTTGTAGTATTGTTAGCCAAATTATTGCGATGATGCGATTTCCTGAAATTAAGCGTAGTCTTTTCATGCCTCTTCAACTTGTGCGCTCAGAGGGAGATCACTGAAACTGAGCATTAGAGGGATTAAAAATCACTGCCAGAAACTAAAATGTGAAGAAATTGTGAGAATATCCAGAGATATGTGAGTTTTTGGTGGATGCTGATAGCCTGAAAACACCCTACATTAACAGCAAAGTGATCCTTGTTTTGAAGTTATTGCATTGTCAACACAGTCTCATTCCTTATCACCTAACAAAAACTGATTTCACCCCATTTACATGTTCTCCTGCCGTCTCTCTGAACAAGCTGGTTGTTCTGTGTAAGTCCTGAAAGTGTTGCTGTGTATTTCTTTTTTTTTTTTTTAATACCTGTACCTCTGTACCTGTGTCAATGTGTTTGTGACGATGGTTCCTCTGTCCTTGACTAGTCGTGGTTAGAGATTAGGAGCTGTTCGGTCCATCAGTAATCTGTCAGTGGTCAGCAGTGTCTTTCTCTCTCTGCCATCCTTCTGGTGATGAGAGTCTTCTTCTTCACCAAGCCTCCACAAGCTCACCTTTCTGAGAGCATGCCGTTACCCCCTCACACGTTTTAATTTAATTTAATTTTGCCACCTGTCTTCATGAAAATGTGAGTTACCTGTGAAAGCAGTAGATTTCTACCCGACCGAGGTTCTGCTCAGAACAGAGCGCCCTGAGCTTGTGGACTTGTGAAGAGTATTTTGCACATGCCATCATTTCTTCAGCAGCAGTCTTCAGCTTTTTTGCCTTTTGCCTATAACAATACTATAAGAAACAATGATGCTTGTACATATCAGAATAGTACTTGTTATATTGTATTCTTTATATTTTTGCTTTTGTTTTTTTTAATTTGACATGTTTTGTAGTACCGCTTTTTTCATGATTACGTTTGTCAATCAAACAGATGTGGGATGAGAAGTGGAAGTGTTTCATTGTTTCATTGTTTTTTTTAAATAAAGATATTCTTGATTTGTAGCCCTGTCTCCTCTTACTGGACTACAGATGTGTGCTTGTACTACAGCTCCATACAGCTTATTTCTGAAGTGGAACAAACTGATGCAGACACTAGCCTGTCTGGATAAATATCACTTAATATGTGCTGCTCAATGACGTAAAATTGCAGAAATAATGGGAACTTTACTAATTATAGTCTTTGTTGGAGACAAACAAATAAAGCCATGTTAAAGTTGGAGAGTAAAATCAGATTTCTGATGAATGCATAAAGTGTAAAAAGTATAAATTAAGCTTAGCACATGATACTTATGAAACAAGGCAGCGGGTCCTGTGGATGGAGGATGCTGGTGACATCATCGGACAAAGAGCTTTAGCAAACCAAGAGAATTATATCCAAACTTCTGTTTTGTAAATAGTCTACGAGTTTTAAAAATTCATTATTCATATCAAGTGTTTGTATTGTTGTTGCTTTTATTTTTTTAAAACAATCTTTTATCGTAACTAATCATCTATATAAAGATGTCGCCGAGTGAACGTTTTACAATAAATAACAATAATAATAAACTTTATAAAGCACACTTAAAAACCAAGGGTATGAGCAATTACGTTTTCCTATTTTACCTTAACGTTACTAAACAATACCATGCAAATAGCATAATAATTTACACCATGTCAATTTAGGTTATTATATTAAATAGAGTCTTGAGGGAAACTGATATACCATAAAATTCAGACGCTCGGATGTTGTAAGAGCGACAACTCGACTATACGCATGCGCAAGATGTATTCCCCGCCTTGACTGAAAAATGTCGAACGTGAATCATCTTAGTGCTTTTTCAATCTTTGGTTGGGGTCTCTGGGAACTCAGCCATTTCGTTTTCTCTGTCAAATTTTGAAGCACATCCACAAAATAATCAGTTTTATGCCGAATAAAGGTTCAGTCGCTTATACTGTGAACACCGAGGTTAAAGTTAAAAACACAGCTAAATATTAGCTGTGTCCACCCCGTCAGCTACTGTCAAGTGACAGCTGGGTAAGTTAAAGTGAAGAAAAACGTAAACAGCAGCTAGCCAAGGTGGCTTTTAGCTCAGTTAAACTTGTTGCCGTAATCGCATTAAAGTAAACTCAGTAGCGTGCGCGAGCTATTTCGGTTTATCTACAAATAACTGCAGGCGTGTTAACTCAACAAAGCAGGTGTGCTAGCGGCAGCTCTCGTCACCCAGCAGTCTTCAAAGTAAAGCTAATTTTAATTTAATGGCTGCTTTGCGAAGTGAATTTTAGAAAAACAAGCGGACCGTGTTTTCGTGTATTAGTACAAGTTGCTCAGCGTTGAGAGAGCACTCTCCGTTTCGTCCTTGGATGCCGTTATCTTCCCATTGCCACTTGTCTAACTGTAAATGGAGTTTTATTTTGAAAAACCGGCACCGGACGCTTGTTCGTTTTGGTAAACTTGACGCGGGTCTGTCCCGAGCATCACAACATTGTGCTGCCGCTTTGTTCGAGGCTCTGTAATTGCTGCGTTTATCTTCGATGAAGGTAAAACTGAGGATAAATAATAATAATGCTTGCACTACGGTGCACTTAAACGGTCAGAATAGATTGTAGTTTATGTTGCATGAGGGCAGTTTGTCGGTATATTTGTAGCAGTGGGACGGCCAGGTCGATAAATCTGTCGCTAGAAATGAAGCATCGCTCTTTACGTGGTGTTTGTTGCGGGATTATGTGTGCATATTGTAAATAATGCAGCCCTGCGTGTGCTGATGATGATAATGATATAATAATGATACGCATCTCTGTGTTGTGTAACACCTTGGAGGATCGGGCCTGCACTGTTTACAAACAGGCTGCATGTCGGGACCAGACACATCAACACGTTTTCAGCGATGGACAGGCATTTATTTGGCCTAATGTCCATCGTCTGTTGTAGCTTTATGCTTTTTGAGCAGTGCTGTCTGCTGTCGGTCACCTTCACTGATCTGCTGACTTCCTCCCCGGCATTAGGCCTCGGCCATCCACCGGCTCCTGCCTTTATTCATGGCTCTGAAGGGTTTAATTCAAACGTGAGGGGTATGCGATCGCGATCATTTCCTGCTGCCGCTCGTTTGTCCGCCCGCACAGTTAGCTCTGTTCTTCTGCATTTGTGAAGCGGTGGACTTGAAAGGAAGCGTGAATATTGGTGCATTGCAGTCAAGTGTATGAGGCAAGATGGGAGGGGGTGGGAGAGGAGGATGGGTGAGAGAGGAAGGGAGGGAGCAGGAGAGGAGAACAGAACAGGTGCGCCTCCTCCATCAAAGCTGGGAGAGAGAGAAAGTCACGATGTTGCACATTTGGCTCCTCTGACGACCTCTTTCTCCTCCTGCTGCGGCTGCAACCCTTTCACTTACATCTGGTCAATATGGAGACAGTGCGCATGCTCAAGGCGGAAAGTCGCCGTTTACTGTGCCAGAAGTGGCCCACGGTTTGGATATTGGACTTTGTAAATGTTATCTAAATATTAATACGCAGCATGAATGTTTCTCTTTTCCTGGCTGGAAGGATTCACAGTGCACACGTGTATCTGCCAGGCTCATCATGGACATGACTAATCATGACTAATGATTTAAAGACCATATAGCACTACATTTACTGTGAGTACTCCCAGAAGATCAGGAAGTCAAATTAAAGATCTGCCTTTAGGTTGTGAGAGATCAGTTAAAGTTGTAAATGTATGATTGAGAATTACAGGAAAGAAGTTTGATATTCTGAGATTTTAAAAAACTGTAAATCTATTAGGAAAAAACATAAAAATTACTGTAAAAATACACTTTTCTAAAGGTTAGAGCTGTGAATATGTGAAGAAAAAGAAAAGATGGATGTTCTAAGAGTAAATTGGTTAGTTTATTATCTGGCATACATACAAAGAAAAAATATGCTCCAATGTTTTTTTTGTATTAAAGATGTAAATTTATGAAGGGCAGAAAAATTCCAACTTAAATAACAGAATTTTTCTGAGGTTAAAGTAGCAAAGTTACACTAAAAAGTAATCTTTTTTTAGAGATAAAGATGTAATTGGAGAAGGAAACTCAAGTTTAAAGTCTAATATTCTCTGAGGCTATAATTTGATCCATTTGCTGGCTTTTTAAGAGTCTGCTCAGTTATGCTGCTACAGATGTTGGGACATTTGTCTTAGTTTAAAATAACATTTCATCCAGATGTCCGTCTGGCTCTAAATCCGACGCCGCTGTGATAATCGTTGCCCCGCCCTCACAAGGTTAGCTTTGTTCACTGATCACTTCTCCTGTTAATTGGATTTGCTGGTCTGTGTTTGTTTCCGGCTAAATTTACTTTAATTATACGTCCAGTATACAATCTCACAGACAACCTTTCTCTTTCTGTCTGATGTCGGGAAGCTTTTATACAGCGTGCCTTCTGTTCATAACAAGACACGCTTGTGCTGCGTGGTTTTTGTTTTTCATCCATCTCTTTTAACTCCATCATTTACAGGATGATGCCAAACAGGAAGTGAATCTCAGGAACAGTCCCTTCATTCGCGTTGTCAGTGTTTCTCATTTTGTTCTCCTCATTACTTTTGTTTGCTGCCATTTTCTTCGTTTGCGCCCCATCATGTCCTTAAGTGTTTCCGGTGTGGTATTTCTCATTCATGAGCAGGTGGATAGAGGAACTGTCGGCAGCGCTGGGTTTGAGTCATAATATTACTCCACTATTTGTCTCATCTGTTGTGTCATTATGTCCTCACGCCGCAAATTAATCATCGCTCGTTTCTGTTTCTTTGCTACCTTCTGTGGCAGGATGTGGTTACACTGAACACCTAATGTTTTGAGGGTTTCAAGCAGGGCAGAATGTGAATCAGAAATGTAAGTAAATGTAGGTTTTCCTTCCCTTTTCTCACAGTGTGTGTGAAACCTGGCAATGTCCACCATGGTGTATCCACGTGAAGAAGCCCTGGAGCGACTGAGCCAGGATGAGATCGTCCTTAACACTAAGACCGTCATGCAGGGTCTGGAGACGCTGCGTGGCGAGCACGCCCAGCTCCTAAACTCCCTGCTGGACTGCACCCAGCCACCTGTTGCACAAGAGAAGTCGGGGCTGCTGCGCAAGAGTCTGGAAGCCATTGAGCTGGGTCTGGGAGAGGCACAGGTGAGAGACAGACACTTAGGTTTTTGATGTTTACACTGAATTGTACACTGAAGTTCACACTCTATTGTGAACCTAATACAATAGGATGCTTTTATAAGGGTTTTTTTTTTTTTACAAAGGCAATAAACAGGTCATCTTGGATCGTCACTAGGCAACCTGATGGCTTTGTGATATATCATGCATGAAAGAAGCTTTGTTGATATAAATGAATCTTTTGAAACAAAAATTATACGATCCTTAGAAGGTGTGATTGGTGCATACATGCTGAATGCAGGTCGTTCTAACCTGTTGCTAGGCAGCATCTTAATATGTGATATAGATAAGAACCTTCAGGGTCCTAATGTGTATCTGTGGACCAAGGTGTTTGTTCACCTCTTGATCATGAGGCAGAGTTGGTGCACAAAGAAACAAAGAAACAGATATTTTTGTGGTTATTCTAATAGGATTTTTACAATTTCCTTTTACACCAGGTGATCATCGCCCTGTCCAGCCACCTGAGCGCCGTGGAGTCGGAGAAGCAGAAGCTGCGCGCTCAGGTGCGCCGCCTCTGCCAGGAGAACCAGTGGCTGCGGGATGAGTTGGCTGGAACGCAGCACAAGCTGCAGCGCAGCGAGCAGAGCGTCGCCCAGCTGGAGGAGGAGAAGAAGCACCTGGAGTTCATGAACCAGATCAAGAAGTTCGACGACGACGTGTCGCCCTCCGAGGAGAAGAACCAGAGCTCGGGCGGCAGCACAGGCGGAGACGCTTCAAAGGATAACCTGGATGACTTATTCCCTAATGATGATGACCAGGGACCAGGTATGACATCAGCAGAGAGGCCTTAATGGGATGACTCAATTTAAGATGAGTACATTGGGATTTTACTGATGAATTTGTGCTCAAGCCAGTCAAAGCCTCACATAAAGCTGAAATCTGTCATTTAATACAAGAATGATTCTGAGGCGCACATGTTATGTAGGGATTGTTTGTTTTTGGCTCTTATGTGACCAAGACAGTTTGAATGAATTATGATATAACGATTTGATGAGGTTAATCATCGGTTCACAGTACAGGCTGTCCACGGCCCAGTTTAACAGAGAGAGTGCCGAATGTGGTACACCACAGGAAGAGATAACTGGTAGCTCACTGGGTGTTCAGTCACCGTGCAGCGTTCACCTATGCACATGTAATGATGACCGACCATAAGCCGCCTTGTCTGATCTGCTCATGACATTTTATTTTAGTTTTACAGTTTTTAATCATTGCTTTATTTTTTATCTTAATAATATAGCACCTGTAGCCCTGAAGTCTGAACTGCAAGTCATTTAAATAGTTCAACTTCTGTGCTATAGGTTTTTTAGCAGCTCTTCAACACAGCACATACAAAGATAAATCAGTTGTGTCAGTGTATGCAGCGTCTTTAGCTTTCCTGCAAATTAACCACACGCTACGTGCTGAACCTTCATTCGCTCTTACAGTGAAATATACATTCAGCCATAGTCTGAATGGCTAGTTAGCGTTCAGCAGCAGCAAGAGCATAACAAGCAGGAGAGAGGGTAGAGAGTACAACACGTAGCTTTTAAAAGGCTTTATCTACTTTTTGGAGAACATGACTATCATCAAATTATATAAAGGAAAAGAAAATCTTGTTACAGAAGCTTCCTCCATTTCCTGCTGGAGTGCTGATCACTACAGCAGACCTGACTTCATGTTTTTTATCCACCATATGTTCTGCTTGGATCTGACAGTAACTTAGTTACTATTTTTGAAAACTGATGGAGTACTGAACAAATCATTCATTTGAGAACTTCATGTAACGCTTTAAAAACTTCTAGTAGGTAGTTTTGCTTATTCTCGACCATGCTGTGCTTCGTGTCACAGCCCAGCCCAGTGGAGAGGTGGCAGCCCAGCAGGGAGGCTACGAGATCCCGGCGCGCCTCAGGACGCTGCACAACCTGGTGATCCAGTACGCCTCTCAGGGGAGGTACGAGGTGGCTGTGCCGCTGTGCAAGCAAGCCCTGGAGGACCTGGAGAAGACATCTGGGCATGACCATCCAGACGTCGCCACTATGCTCAACATCCTGGCTCTGGTGTACAGGTGGGGGCTTGAGAGTGTGGACGCTTTTCATAAACTATTCATTGTTGTAAAATAAAGCCTCTGAACACAGCGCCATGGGTCTGTGCTTTGTGTTTTGTGCTCCAGGGACCAGAACAAATACAAAGAAGCCGCTCATCTTCTGAATGACGCTTTAGCCATCAGGGAGAAGACACTGGGGAAGGACCACCCAGCTGTGGCTGCAACCCTCAACAATCTCGCTGTATTATATGGCAAGAGGGGCAAATACAAGGAGGCTGAGCCTCTCTGCAAGAGAGCACTGGAGATCAGAGAGAAGGTACAATTGCAGTTTTGTTCATATTTGTGTTTTAGCAACTGAATCACCTTTTGATATAAAGGGTACATAAGCAGACAAGTTACCCAGACAGTCTCCATGTGGTCACGTGATTGTAGTTTGTTTTGCAAATGTGTGGTTGTCTCACTGTTGTAACCAGGTGCTGGGGAAGTACCATCCCGACGTGGCTAAGCAGCTGAACAACCTGGCCCTACTGTGTCAGAACCAGGGCAAGTACGACGAGGTGGAGTACTACTACGGACGAGCCCTGGAGATCTACGAATCTAAGCTCGGAGCTGATGACCCCAATGTGGCCAAAACCAAAAATAACCTGGTGGGAACTTAATTTGCACTACAGACTGTAAAGATGGATGTAGCGTCAGGGTGTAAAATGGCCAGCAGGGGGCGACTCCTCTGGTTGTAAAAATGTGTCTGGTTCTGTAAAGGTCTTTGGGAAAACTCCCCTGCTGTTCACGTGATTTAAGACAGTAGTAAACGCTGCCCTGATGAGCTTCTGGTCTCAGTCACGGGATTAAAGTCTGAACATCGTGTCGCATTCAGTAATTTTTTTATATTTTCCCTTCAGAGCCAAAAAGGAGGATAAAGAAAATATTGATTTATGTTTGATTGACAAGCTGCTGTCTTATGAGCATCCTGTGTCAGTCAAAAGGACAACAGCTAAGCGTCCACCTTGGGGCTTCTCACTGGGACCAATTAAAATCTAATGTTGGCTATGCCCATCTTTTATATACAGTCTATCATTTGAACACCCTTCTGCCTCTTCACTGTTTCACTACCTTTATAGTTTTTTTCTCCTGTGACTATTTCACCTATTTCTAGAAACACTGTTCACTGATCAGGATTGTCGGTGCTTCCTGTTTCTCTTTAGGCCACATGCTACCTGAAGCAGGGGAAATTTGCAGACGCTGAAGCTCTGTACAAAGAGATTTTGACCAGGGCGCACGAGAAGGAGTTTGGCTCTGTCAACAGTAAGTAGAGCAAACAGCTGAGTCACACTGAAGTGACTGTATCAGATCCTGCTGGTCACAGAGTTACTCAAAGTGCCAGGACTGGGCAGAGAGGAGCAGGCTGTGAGTCAGGCTCAATTTACATCAGAAGTCTTCCTGTTAGCCTTGTTTTTTTTTAGATTCAGGCTGTGGTTTGGTCACACCCTGACGGCCGCATCGCTCTGAGTTCTCAGCAAGTCAGAGGATTACACTGAAGCTCGCAAAGCAGCTTAATGCTGATGGTTTCCTCCCGCCTATCCAGCTAAGTCTATCAAACCCTTATGCGCTCACATGCTCAGCACGAGAGCGGGCTTTAGCTGGGTTTGGTGAGTGACAGCCGCGTGTTTACATGAAATCAAATGTGTTTACATAGACAGAGAGGCATTACCTCAAACTAAAAATGGGTAATTTCAGGATTTTGGTCATTTTTCAGGACAATTAAAATACTTTTTAAACTCAAATCCAACTCCATGCTGTATTTCAGGACTCTAGACAGTTCCTCCTTAATCATAACTATTATTTCCCTTTTAACCCAACGTTTTTTTATTTGACTGCAACTGCTTTTGAAGGGCAGCCATGGAAAATGTGCCTGAAATGACCAAATTACAGACCATATTAGAGGATATCCAGCAGACTGAAGTGCCATTCATAATTATTGGGTTATTTTTATGATTTTAACAGTGCAGAACAATAAAAAGCATCTTAAGTCCTCTTCAGTGTGGGTTTGGTGGCCCACACATGATGTTCTTGTATAAAAAAAGTAATTATGTGATATTTCTGCCTGTTGCAGATGATAATAAACCAATCTGGATGCACGCTGAGGAAAGAGAAGAGAGCAAGGTAGGCAGGCAACGCATACAGTGGGTATAAGGACAAGGTTTTTTTGTTGTTTTAACTTGCTGCCTATTGGACCAGCATTTTGTACTTGTCTCCTCCTGCTTTCTGACTCGTTTAATATTAATCTGTGTCACTCTTTCTTTCAGGGCAAACGCAAGGACTCAGGCCCATATGTAGAGTATGGGAGCTGGTACAAGGCCTGCAAGGTGGACAGGTAAATCAGACATTTAGATCCACTGGAAACAGGTCAAAGTCTAAACTGTCTGATCATGTATGTGACCTAAATAACTGTGAATGTCTAGCAAGGGAGGCTACTCTGATCTGATGGCCTTTTTGTCTTTTTAAAAAGATGAAAAATGGTAACACAGAGGAACAGAACAGGGAAACTATCATCACCAAAAAGGAAGGGAAACAAAGATCATTACAAATCTATGTTTGCCTCAAAAGACTAGAAGTTAAACCACTGACTTTATCAGTCTGTGGTTCGTCATTCTTCTAGTTTTATAGTAGAAACGGCACATTTCCATCCCTTTTGTTTGAGGAGCAGATACTTTGCAGACTGTGTAACAGTAAACTTCTCAAAGCAGCAGAGAGTGTTTGCTTTGTGGTTCAGTTTGGGAAAGGTCTAACGCTTGATTGTTTAACCCTGATTGATGGATTAGGTTACTTTTAAAAGATCTAAAGAAAAAAAAGCTGGATTTCTTTCTCTCTCAACAGCCCAACAGTGAACACAACCCTCAAAAGCTTGGGAGCTTTGTACCGTCGCCAGGGCAAACTGGAGGCCGCAGAAACACTGGAGGAGTGCGCCAGCAAGTCACGCAAACAGGTGCAACAGGAACCCTCTCGACGACGGCCGTTTGGCCGTTTGAATTACCGCCTTTAGATTAGTCATCTGGGCTCTTTTCAGGGATTTTTCAGTTAAGCGAGCGGATTTGTTCAACAGGCATTCCAGCTACGATTTATTGGCTCATAAACTGTGTGCCAAAGTGATTTAAAGATCAGTCGTACTAATGTTTGCACATAGTAAAGAACACATGCTGCGTCTGCTGTTGTATAAAAGGGTTTTTTTTTCAGGCCCTTGCATCACCCTTGTCTTTATTTTCCTCTCTCAGGGTATTGATGCCATTAACCAGAGTAAGGTGGTGGAGCTGCTGAAGGACGGAGGCTCTGGGAGCGACAGACGACACAGCAGGGAGGGAACGAACGGACCTGGTGGACAGAGAGGGGAGAACGAGGGCGACGACTCGGCTGAGTGGAACGGGGTAACATAAGTTTGGAAGCTAATAAAGTAGCAGTATGTGTTCACATTGACTGGATGTGACTACAGCGTAACCACAGTGTGAATAATTTCATAAAGTACTGTGGACATCCTTGTCTGTGAGTCTGTTCTAGCGTGCCTTAAAGGAGGTGTTTTTCTAAAGTTTTACTGTTGCACATCTCGCCCTCAGGATGGTAACGGGTCTCTGCGCCGCAGCGGCTCCTTCGGTAAGATTCGTGATGCTCTGAGAAGGAGCAGCGAAATGCTGGTGAAGAAGCTGCAGGGCAGCGGTCCTCAAGAACCCCGCAACCCAGGGTAAGACTACTGCAGCTGTGCAGTCAGGTTATAGTTATGGTTACTTCAGTTTTTCTTCTCACCAGTCCAAATTACATTCGCACTTCAGTTCCCAAAGCTAAAAGTACATCTTCAAAAAATTCAGACCAATTATAACACTGTTCAAAACTGAAACATACGCTCACCAGCCAAATTATTAGGTACGTTGCTTGTTCATCTGCCTGTTAACTCAAATATCAGTAAATCACCCAGCAGCAACTCAAAGCATTGAGGCATGGAGACATGGTTAAAATGACCTGCTGAAGTTCCAACTGAGCATCAGAGCTAGAAACAAAGGGGATTTAAGTGAGCTCAGATTTTCTTACACAAATATCTCTAAAGTTTACAGACAATGCTGTGAGAAAGAGAAGATATCCGGTGAGCAGCAGTTTTCTCGGCGAAAATGTGTGGTTGATGTCCGAGGTTAGAGGAGAACAGGCAGAAAAGCTGATAGGGAGGCAACAGTTACTCAATTAACCACTTGTTACAACAAAAGATGAACATCGTTGAACACACAGGACGTTGAAGCACAAGGATGATTCTCATAATGAATGTGCAAGCAGGAAATCTGCATCAACTGTGTGATGCTGTTGTGTCAACATGAAGAAGTAATGAGTCATGTTTCCAGCACGTTGTTGAATTGAGGCAGCTCTGAAAGAGAAAGGGGTCCAACCTGGTACTATAAAGGCGTACCTAATAAAGGGTCCAGTGGGTATATAGTTGAGTATAACATTTACAATTGAGCATGAAGGTTGCGTGACCTTGTAAATAAGATCCACGATGAAGCCTTAATTGCTCGGGAACCATGATGGGTGGTCTGCCTTGTCCATTCCTAAATATTACTCAAATCACTCGGTTTTGTAAAAACACTTTCTGTCTTTAACTCATTACTGAAGTTTGTGGTTTGAGTTCACTGGTAATCGTGTGTTTCTGTACAGAATGAAGAGAGCCAGCTCCCTTAACTTCCTCAATAAGAGCACCGAGGAAACCACACAGGTACTTTATTCCTCACAGCTGCGATTTCACTCAGGAAATTCTATCTTTCGAATTAAATACCGAGTCCAGGTGATTGTCTGTTACCTGACAGAATATGCACAACGTTTTCTAAACTAAATACTAACACAACCTGATCTGCCTGCAGGATGTCAACTCTGGACTCTCAGACAGCAGGGGGCTAAGCGCCAGCAACGTAGACCTATCCAGACGCAGCTCCCTGCTCGGCTAGACCGGAGACGGGAGGCAGAAGCGGCCCGAGGAGGAGAGGCTGTTTGCAGCTCGGTTTGGTCCAACTACACACTTAAAGCTCAACGCCAGATCAAACACTTTGCGCCTGCAGCATATTTTTTTAAAGAACACTGGGGAGGAGGGAAAGCATTAGCTCCACACTCGAGGTCGTCCTCTGAGACGCTGCTGCTTCGCTGTATAAAACGCTGCCATCGACCAGAAAAGAGAATATTTAGATACACATTTACGAGCATGCTGCTTACTAGTTCGTGGAACGTCTGCACCTGAACGCCTCGTGTTTTTTCTGGGGGTTTTTGGGGGTTTTTCCACTCACAGCACCGTAGCAGAGCATCGTGCGTTATGACAGGTCGGTTCCTTCAGTCCAGATCTCTTATGTGCAGAAACTCAACCTTAGGTGGGCTAATTATAATCCAGGTCCAGTCCAGTTTCACCAGTAGCATGAAGTAGACACAGACACTAACCATCCACCTGAAGCATATTGCAGATGGTAAAAACGGTACTACCTGAAAGATAGAGCAGAGGTGTAACAAGAGGATACAAGCATCATTAGCACTAACCATTTCAACCTCACTTTATGCCTTTTTTATGTAAATACAGATTTAAATTATTTGGTATTTGATTCTCTGTGTATAGTGCACTGATTTATTTCTTTGTTTGTTTGTTTACATTTTAACTCTGTAATACAGGGTCTCATTTAGAAGTAAAACACTACCTGTATGAAGGGCGGAGACTGGAGATGAAGGAAAAGAATGGAGTGATGTGAAGGTGAAAGGTTAATGGGCATTGGTTGATTGTATCCGTGACACTAAATGCTGATAAATGTATTACCTCAACTGTTCATATCTGATACCAAGTCGTCAAAGTTTCACTATAATCGTGTGCTTTAAATGTGACAGTACTGTATTTCTAGCAACAATCTTGCTATCTACTGAGCATACTTTGATGGGAAAGGTTATTCATTTCCACTGGATTGGGTTGTGACAGCGTTTGGGGGCAGAAACTGCAGTTTTTCACGAGTCAAAAGACAGAAAACGGGCCAGAAAATTCATTTGAGGGAAGATTTTTTTTTTTTTTTTAATTTTTGGGGGTTCACATCCTCTAAAATGATGCCGTTGCGTTCCTAGTGACTTAATTTAAAGTCACGTTAAAAGAGCTTTTAGGGGTCGTGCGTAATCCAGGACATACTGTTTCATGTCCCATGTCCTATTTTGCACTGCAGGTTTGGGAAAAGATCATGTTTTATGTTAAAATTCTGCCTTTCATAGCATTTCTGTTGGGAAAAAAAAAAGTCCTTTACAGGAGTCCATGTGCGATGAGTTGACTCTAAAACGGCAGTATTTGACTCCTCGATGTCCCTGAAGCCTCAACAGGGAGTTTAATCAAAGTTTGTTTTGGTACCTTTTACCTGAGCTCCATGTGACTAAATAATAAAGAAAATTTGATGTTTAAAAATAATGTGTTTACAATCATTACAGCAGGATATTGAAGTGAAAGTGTCTTTTAAAGCTGTGGGTAACCCTCTTAATTATTTGATCAGAGCTGATGCAGCCCATCAGCTGATGTGTTTACTGTCATTCCTCTTGTGAGTTTGTTGTAGTTTTTTCTGTATTTACTGTTGTTGAATGTGCATCATTTTGTACAAATCAGTCCTTATTGTTACATTTCTTTCTTTCTTTTTTTTTTCTCCTGGGTGGATCAGTCATCAGTCGTAATCAAACCCTCGCAGGGAGCTGGCTGATGGTGGTCCGTCCTCGCTGACTTTTTGTTGCGATTTTTTTGTTTTGGCTCTGAGCTTTTATGTCGACGGTACAAACAGCTGGTTATTTGAATGTTGATTTTTAATGTTGATTGTGCGGGGTCTGGTGGATTGTTGTTGTTTGCAAGCCAGGACGCTACTATCAGGAGAACTATCCGCTGAATGCACTTCTTATCATGTTAAAGCAAAATTAGGGTCAGCAAGTGATGTTACACCCTCAAGTTTTTCCTTGACTTCATGACGAGAAAGTAAACGAAAAGGTGAATGTGAGTTCTAAAAAGGTGAAGACAGGTTCGTGTGAGGCTGTTTTGCAGTCGCCACGCAGCTACGGAAACCGAAGGCACGCTTTTTTTCTTTTTAATTTTTAATTAGCCTTCGATCTCTGAGTGGCGCTAAGTTTATCCTGTCTGCTTCAGAACGTGCGTGATGGTGCAGGTTTAATGAACGGAGGAAAGGAGGAGTACCGAAAGTGCAGGACGGAGTTAAAAAGAAGTGAGTGGAAGAGCTTTGGAAAGACGCTGGAAAAACATAAAGTGCTTTAAGTGTTGTTCACAGCAAATAATGTACAGAGTTATACATGTATGACCTTTATATACGTGTTTACTGTTTGTCACTTATTCACTCATAAGAATGATGGAAGATTCCTATAACCATACACACAATCTCAACACTGTCTAACTCTGTGTGTGTGTGTTTATGTGTATATACATATATATTTAAAAATCAAATGGTGAAACACTAGTTTGTAGCTGAAGATCCAGTAAAGATCAGTGCTTCTTTCCAGTACACACCATCATATCAATACTTACCAGTACTGTAAGGTAGTAATCATTCACTTCTACACCCTGGGTCGGTGCAGTGTAATAACTGGGATTTCAGGAGATGCAGACTCCTTAAACATGTCACCGCTAATGCACTATTTTCTCATGTGGGAGAACAAAACTGCTACGGCTGTAAATATTAATTTGTGATCACTGCAGCAGCAACAATTTGATCCAAAGCTTAAAAGAGAAATCTTGATTTCTGTGTGCTGTCTGTCCAAATGTGTATGGAGATCAGTGCATGTACTCAGAGCCACTGATGGTGATGTACGTACGCAGGCCTTCTCTCTTTTTTTGTTATTTTTCTTTGTTTTTATTTTGTTGCTGATGATTTCATGCATCTTATTATGACGGGGCCAACCTAATGTGTATTTTAATCAAAGGTTCAATAAATGCAAATTCCACTTTTCAAACCAAATCTGCCTCCTGTGTGTTTTCCAAACTTCTACAAAGGCGAACGTGCGCGCTGAATTGTTTTAACCATTTCAAAGTACGTGTGTGTTTAAGTTTTGACAGCCAGGGTGTGGGGTGTTAACCGTACGCTGTGCTTTTTGCAGCCTTCACAGAGGTGAGTGCTTCTCTTGTTACTTCCTGTTTCTCAGACAGCCGAGCCCCACAAAAAGGAAACCAGACCAACCAGCAGCTCACGATGAGCCTCGGCAGCACCATGATAGATTGATCAGCTGTTGCGCTGTTGAGACGCAGTCCTTCGATCGTCGAAGACAAAGACCAGACCAAGATTAGACCGTAAGGTTGGTGCTTTTTAGTTTGTTCTTGATCTGATTAAAAAATAACTCTTTGTTTATCCTGATCAAAGTATTGTGTAGTAAGTTATGTCCTATTATATCAAAGCTTTTACAACAGAAGTCTTTTTAGTCGAAGAGAGCATTCGCTGCTTGAAATATCCTTCTATTTCGGGCGATGGTGAGATAAAGATCTCTTATTGAGAAATTGGGGTGTTCAGTTTTATTCACCTGAACGTTAAACAGGAACTATTTCAAACAAGACCTATAAGGTTAAGATGGAGTAGATTTCCAGGGGCCTGCGTAGTGCTTTGTTTTGGAGTTTCACGTTGAACCTCTTCAGCTTTCTCTCAGGTCACACCTTCAACCCCACATTAACTTGATCCACTTTTCCTCCTGCAGGCTCTCTCTCCATGTCTACACTGACTCCCTCGAGTCCCAGTAGTCTCACAGCACCGGTTCTGGTCCAGTTCCAGCTGGGTCTGTTCAGGGAGGTGGTTCGAGTCCCTGCGGGCAACCTGAGCTACCGTCATGCCCGGAGGTTGGCTGCTGAGGTCATAGAGCGCAAGGTAACCGCACGGGGTGGCGTTGTTTCCCGGCTCGAAAGCACTAAGACACGAGGAGGTGGGGCGGTATTATACATCTGATCGTCTGTGAAGGTTCTCAGTCATCCAGGTCATCGTAGCCAATCAGCCAGAGTTTCGGATGAAACCCTGGCTGATTGGGACCCACACCCAGTTTCACACCTTGGCTCAGGCGATTAGAGGATCATCAGGGGGTCCTTTTGTCCCTCTGTGGGGGGAAACTCCCACTAGGTTTATATCTGGGACTCTCCATCATTTGACCTTAGAACTGAAGAAGCTTCTCGGATGAGAGGTGAAACGTCTTCAAGCAACTTAAAGAAGTCCAGACGCTTTTCTTTACAAGCTCCTTTGACTATACATCTGATCATGAAGAGTTCATCATCAGTCACGAGCGTTAAAGAGGCCATGCACCAGTTTTAAAATAGATGTTTATCTATGTTTTATTCTTACAGACACACACTCACAGTAGTGTGTTGTCAGATGAGCCGATATCAAAGAGAGGGGTCTTCTCAACCACACAACTGTAACAGCGAGCAAACATGTGCCACCTCCCAGAAATTCAAACGTGTTTATGAGGGGCAGCCAATGAGAAGACAGTTTGCTTAAACAGAAAGTCGGGAGAGGTGCTAAGGATGGAGTGACGGCCATTATATGCAAAGCTACTGTAACACAGAGTCCAACAATATTAAATATATGGAGCTGGACAATAATAACTTCATAGAGTTGTACAAAAACAAAAAGCGAAAGTGCATAACAACCTGCAGATGTGCGAATCTGAAAGCCGTCATTATTTAGGAGGCACGAGAGATGCTCATGAAAGAGCCTTTTGAAATGCATTGTGGGTATTCTGTTGCGGCATTTTTTGGTAGTTGGACCAATTCTAGAGAAGTGTTATCGTCTTCAGCTGCAGTTGGGGTTTACAGCACTTTAAAGAGAGCAGCTTTTTCTGAGTCGACCTCATTTTTAGCTGGTAGCCGTGCAGATTACGTCTAGCTTTGTTCTGTTTCCTTTTTTTCTTTTGTTTTGGAGTTTTTGTTTTTTTTTAACTGCCATTCGATACTGGTCAAAACTGACTGACATGTGGTTTGCTCAGATGCCACAGCTGTAGGAACAAACTGCGTGCAAAGAGTCAGAAGCGAGAAGGTGATGAAAAAAGATATTAATTAGAATGAAGTGCTGAGCTGTCACAACGCGCCCTGACCCATAACACAGTCCCACTTGGAAAATATTGTGATGATGTTTCAAATCTCTCAGGCCTCTCAGAACTGTCAGGAAGTGGACTATGAAAGGTCAACTTATTTATGAAGGAAGGTAATGTAGGTTTGTGCATGGAGTGTGGTTTTTGTCTGCAGAGTTTGGTGGTTTTGTGCTGTTGTGTATGCAGCACTCTGTATGGTGGTGTAATTTCACCAACATTTAGTATTGTGAAGTGGGTGTCACCCAACCACCTTCAGATTTTTGAGGGTGTTTGTGAATACAATTTGTTCCGGAAAACTAAATGACAAGTTTTAAAAAATAGAAGATATAAACTCGCCATTTAACAGATTTCCTCCACCCACCAGAGATGTATTTAGACTTAACGGGTACTCTATACTTGTTTAAACAGTAAAATCTATACCCAAGTGCCAGCGCACAGACGGTGGAGTAAAACTGTAGTTGAGGTTAAATAAGGAAAGTTGTGAATTGCAGGTGTTGCAGGGGCTTCATCTCACTGTCACTGGGCTGGTCTTTGCACTTCCTCGGTTACAGGGACTGTGGTCGACACGAGCGCAGAAAACTTTCCAACCACAGCTTCTCCCCTCTGACTGAGACGCGCACAAACACGCACGCACGCAGCCCACCTTTACAGTTTTCGTCTTGAGTTTCCAGGCAGTAGGTCAGCTCGTCGTGTGTGTGTGTGTCACTTGTGCACGTTTTACATTCATTAAAGTCACTGTGTCAATGATGGGTGAACACCCGCATCTCCAACACTGAAACCTAGCAGGTATTTGCTTTACCTTTAGGGTCACATAAAGCACAATTCCACTTATGCACTTTGAGGCAGGGGGGAAGTAATGGACACATTAGGTTTGTTCTATTGGTGTAAATGTTCGCCTTAATAACGCAATGCTTTGCATCACCTGAATGAGTACTGCTGTTAGGAATGGACATGGTCGGCACCAACGCTCAAGCAGGCTGTGGAGTTTGATGCTCAGCTGTTCTGTCCCCAACACCATCACACCACCTTCAGCAGCCAGACCCTACCATCAAAATGTTCCAATCGAGACTCGTCAGACCAGACAACATTTTTCTGATCTTTTGTTGTCCAGTTTTAGTGAGGCCTGTGTGAACTGTCACGTCGGTTTCCTGTTCTTAGCTAGGAGTGGCTTCCTATGCGGTGTTCTTCTGCTGTAGCCCATCTGATTCAAGGTTTGATGTGTACGCTCTTCTGCATACGTTGGTTGTAACGAGTGTTTATTTGCCTTATTGTCAATATGAAACAGTTTGGCCATTCTCCTCTGACCTCTGAGTTCAACAGTTCACTCAGAGAACTGGTTAGACATGGTTGTGTGGAAAAATCCCAGCTGATCAGCAGTTTCTGAAATACTCAGACTAACCTGTCTGAAACCAACAACCATGCCACGTTAAAGTTACTTAAATCACGTTTTTTCCTCATTTGTGGCTCAATTTTAACTTCACCCGGTCGTCTTGACCGCCACGTGCTGAAATTCACTGAGCTGCAGTATGATTGGCTGATTAGACAGAGCAGTTGAACATGTTTAAATAATGAATTGACCTGCAGTGTCACATCTTTGAATCTGCTGTTCTTATCATCCCTAAATGATGATTCAGATAGAAAAGCAAAGCTTGAGCTACTTCGCAGCCTTCCTATCTCTCTTCCTCAGTCGTACTTTGGCGACAGATGCACACAGATTATTTATTTCTATAACGCTGAACGTGGTGGAGTCACTCTCTACCTGTGGTGCATCACTCAGGTTTCCCTTCAGAGCTGTCTTCAGTCTGCATGCTCATCTTAATGTGGTTTTGTTCTTTACCGCCGTGCAGACGTGAAAATGGAAAATCACGACTGACAGGCTGCAGGTGGCTTTCTTTGCTGTGTCCAGTTTCCCAAACCACACTTGTTCTGATTTCAAATGTTTAAATTACTCCATTTGTGGAAAAACTTACTCTTATTGCTTAATAACTTGTTTCATTTACTCAGAAGGCAAATCGTCACATTACCGGAGCCCTTCTGGGGGTTTAAATTGATCTTGTTGCTTCAATAGTGACTCAACCTGAGACTGCGGTTTTTGTTCCTTCGTGTGTTTAGGCTCCAGACTGCAGTGTGGTGGGTGTCGGGGAGAAGATTCTGCTGTTCAGACATCAAGCCGCCTCCGAGCAGTTGCTGCAGCGGCTGACCGACTCCGACGAGCTGCAGGATGGCGACCTCATTGAGGTCATCGTTTCAGGTTAGTGTTTGAGGTTTACAGAGGCAGGTGGACACTTGGTGAGATTTGGTGGTACTACGTGCACCTCATTTGTTTGGGTGACATATAGTTTATTCATGCATGTAAAATGCTGTTTCTGTCCAGGGGTTTGGAGAGAAGCTCTTGAATGGTAAATGGCCTGTATTTGTATAGCGCTTTACTAGGACCCCAAAGCGCTTTACACTACATTCAGTCATCCACCCATTCACACACACATTCACACACTGGTGACGGCAAGCTACATTGTAGCCACAGCCACCCTGCGGTGCACTGACAGAGGCGAGGCTGCCGAACACTGGCGCCACCGGGCCCTCTGACCACCACCAGTAGGTGGTTTTAAATGGTCAGTTTTAAATGAGTCCAACTCTCCTACTGTTCCAAACCTATTTTCACGGGGGGCAGTGGGCGGGCGGACGAAGTTAAAACTGCTTGTTTCAGACGAGTCGAGCGCCTGCACCAAGGACCAGTATAAGACAAATGAGGATTATTTTGAGCTGTGAATCATGCAAAGCTACTATAGCGGAGTCTTAGCAGTAAATGCATGGAGCGTGGATGTCTGTTGGTGTAACGAGTCCTCTCTGTGATTCAGGATCAGCCTCCGTGACGCAGGTGACGATGCGTCCACACTCCTTGGCGGTGCAGTCGTACCGGACCCCCACTTTCTGTCACCACTGTGGAGAGATGCTGTGGGGCCTCGTTCGGCAGGGTTTAAAATGTGACGGTAAAGGCACTCTCACACTTCATCATGTGGTGGTATCGTCTCTTCACTGATACTTGAGTGTTGTTAAAGTTTTTTGTTTTTACTTTTATCTCTTTACAGGTTGTGGATTAGACTTTCATAAACGTTGTGCTTTGCAGTTGCCCAGTAACTGTAGCCGAGCACGGCGTCAGGTTAGCACCAGCTTTTCCCTGTTTCCACCCCGGCGACCTCGCACACACTCGCTGTCCAATCAGGCAGGCGGGAGTCTAGAAGAGGTGAGGAACTGCTGTGATTGTAATGCAGATAAGTGTTTTTGCAACCCTGGATTTGTTTGTTTCTCCAACACAGCTGTAACCTTTACTGGTATAATCGAATCACATATTCACACAATAGATTTCTTTCAGTTATTCTAAGTTGATATCTTTCACTTTGCATCTTTCTCCAGATCAGCAAGTCCAAGCCCGCATCCAGGCCTCCATCCTGGGCCGAGGCTCCGGTGTGGCTGGGAGTCGGGTACAGCGACTGGAGCAGGGCTCAGGTCCCTCACACCTTCCACATCCACAGCTACACCAAACCCACCGTCTGCCAGTACTGCCACCGGCTGCTCAAAGGCCTCTTCAGACAGGGGCTGCAGTGCTCAGGTGAGAAGGAGGAGAAAAACTAAGCACATCCCATGTTTCAGTAACTTGTTCAACCTCCTTTAGCAGCAATAACTTGAATTATTCGTGTCCTGTGTGACTTTATCAGTTTCTCACATTTTTATGGGAGAAATTGCGTCTGACTTTTTTGCAGCGTTGTTTCAGTTCACTGAGGTTTGCAGCGATTCGTTTACGCACAGATCTGTAGATTTGCTGCTGTGCTTGTGATCATTGTCCTGTTACATGATTCAACTTTGTCTAAGCTTTATCTGTCAGACAGACGGCATCATATTTGCCTCTACAATACTTCGGTATACTCTGGTGTTAATGGTCGACTCAGTGACTGCGACGTGTTTGGTTTCCTCTCAACGTGGTTTTGTGCATCTCGTCAGTGCAAAGGACATTGTTCCAGAGGTCTGGTGGTTTGTTCAGATGGAACTTTCCAAACATCATCTGTGCTCCAATGTTCTAATTAGAGAGAAGAGGCTTTGTCTCCAAACAAGCCATACTCCGTCAGTCTTTTTCTAATTGTGCTGTGACCGGCCAGCTGTATCAGAAAGTAGATCGCATGCATCTACTGCAGTGAGACTCTCTTGCTGTGACGCCATGACAGGATGTACATATTAATGGTTTACACCTCAGCTGAGCTCTTATTTTAGCCAGCTGCATGTTTTGTTTGGTAGAAGGAAATTGGCACAAGACAGCACAAGTGTTAAGAGAAGGTTGACGTCGCTGAAAAAACCCATAGCAAACCCAGTCTACGTCAGGGTTGGTGAACTTAGTCCATTTAGTCAATGGGAAATGAGAATCACATCAGATTTCCTGTAAAATGTATTTCCCTCACAATTTGGCTCACAGGAAATTCTCTACAAGTGCACAGAAAGTTTATTAGTGTCTGCAAAGTTTAGTCCTGCATAATTTACACTTGTACAAGTGAGCTGCCACACAGCCGTCTCACCACAACCTGTTTAACAGCACGAGGCGTTTAACAAAAGCAAAACTCACTCTTGGATTTAAATGTAATACCTGTTTCTATTATTATAGCTGTTTGACAGGTCTGAAAAACAGGTTTGTGTAATATCGCTTAAATTAGAAACATCCTGTCTCAGAGTGAGGCTGAAAAACGAGTTCATACATTTATTACTTCCAGGCTTAAAACTTTTTGCTAAAGCATATAGTTAGAGCTGGATCACGTGACCTTGAATCTTCCCTTAGTTATGCTGCAGTAGGTGTTAGCTGCTGGGGGAGTCCCATAATGCACTTCACTCACTGTGTGTTTACACACCTCTCTGCATTTAATCATAAGTTATTATTAATCTCTGGCTCTCTTCCTCAGCGTCTTTGTCTGTCTTCCTTCCCTCACGCCCAGTTAGTTGCGGCACATGGCCGCCCCTCGCCGAGCCTGGTTCTGCTGGAGGTTCCTTCCTGTTAAACGGGAGTTTTTCCTTCCCACTGTCACCAAGTACTTACCTTGAGGAGGTTGTCTGATCGTTGGGGCTTTCTCTCTGTTATTGTGGGTCTTAAACCTTACTATACAGAGCATCTTGAGTTGTTGTGATTTGGTGCTTATAAATAAAACTGAACTGAACGTGGCAACTCTGTAGTTTTGTAGGATACTTAATTTAAGAGGAGAAAATCTTTGATCTTGCAGTTTGCCTGTACCCTCCTACCAGGCTTCTGCTGTCAAACTGGCTGCACATGAGTGCAAAACTTTACAGCTGCGTCACCTCGAAGTCTGGCTCAAAGGAACATCCTGTGCTGTGGGTTATTTGTTCTTTTGTTAATTTTCAGTTTGCCTCTGCATCTTAGCAGAGGTCCCAATGTGGCCCGCTGGCCTGGATCTCCACACATATGGTCTAAAGGTATAGATAGCACAACAGGTCACCTTTGAATCTTATTGTCACCCACTCCTGTGAAAGAGTGGGTGACAGGCCTCCTTCTTTACAAACCTGATAATGTTATGCGTTCAGATCTTGTGGCCATTTTTGGTGCTCTGTTCCTGCAAAGCTTTGACTTTGATTAGTAATGCTTGACTTGGAGGCTCACGAGCACACAGCAAACACTTGTTTTGTCAAGGAGCGTGTGTATCCCACGTACTTACGTAAGCAGATTGGGTTGAATCTAATTTTACCTAAATGCCTGGATGTGTCTCAGACGTCTCGAATCTCAGACGACATTCATTTTCATCACGAAAAAAGCTGACCGCAATATTCTGACTCATGAGTTTGTATCTTTCCAGACTCCAGCACTCTTTCTGTCAGCCTTTTTAAACCTCCCACGTCTCCTCCATGGTTTTTCCAGACTGCAGGTTTAACTGCCATCGGCGCTGTGAGCCTTTAGTCCCCAGAGACTGTCCCGGAGAGAGGAACGGCATGAACGGGGAAGGTGAGTGACGGTCCCTGGAGGTCTGAGGTCTGGTTTTCATTTCATATTCTGGGCTTGTGGCTGTGTTAGACCATGGCTCTTTGAAAAGGGGCCTGACTCTGATGCTGTCAGCATGAGTCGAAGCTGATTCACCCTGTTTGCCAGGAACATTTGATAGATTCAGGCCTCACTCTAAATTAGCATCTCAGAAACGTCACATTCCTCCGAGTAGCGGTGATGATTAGCTGCATGATGAGTCAGGTAAACTGAGCCTGATGAGAAATGAGATGAAATGATTTCACCAGAGAATATGTAAAAAAGAGAAAACAAAGACAGCTAACTGATCAGCAGTATTTCAGATGCATTTTAAATCATTTATTGAGAAAAATCAGACATTTTCTTTTGTTCGGTTCATCTTGAACTTATTTGTTTGCTATTTTTACCTCATTATTTGTTGGTATTTTATGGCCCTAATCGTGTAAATAATATAAATAGAATTAAATGTAGCTGTTCATTAGTTGCTGATGTCACATTTCCAGAGAGCCCAGCAGCTGATAACAGCTGCCAACCAGACTTGGAAGACAATGAGTCAGTGATCACCAGCACCACAGAGATCTGCGACGATGACATGTTCACCGATGATGACTCACAGGCAGAGACCGGGGAAGTCGAGCAGCTGCGAGAGCCGATGAGGTCAGAGGGGCACTAAGTTTTTCTGATGATCTAATCCCAGCTAAAAGCTGTCTGCTGGTGCAGACAGCGTCCGAACGATGTCACGCGTCTGAATCACACGTCGCCCAAATTCACGTATTATAAAACAGACGTTTATCGTCCCTGTCGTTTATATCTGGATTTTCTCGGCTTTGTTTGTGGCACACGCTGCCACCTAGAGGCGACTTCTGTTTAATTCACCATCTCCAAACGGACCTTTATTTTGTCCTCCCTCTCTTTTTCCGTCCGCCAGTCCTTGTTTCAGCAGCAACATCCCCCTGATGAGGCTCGTCCAGTCGGTGCATCACACTAAGAGGAGAGGCGGAGGAGTCCTGAGAGAGGGGTGGCTGGTCCACCACACCAACACAGACACATTGGTGAGGAACACACTCTTTCAGATCTGGAAGCGTTCAAAAAAGCAAAATGTTTTGCTCAGGTTATGATATTTGTGAAGCAGAATCACATTTTCATCGGCTTTTAACTCGGTCGTGTCTTTACTCAGAGGAAACGCCATTACTGGATCTTGGACTGGAAGAGCATGACTCTGTACCAGAATGAAAACACCACGAAGTTCTACAAGGTATGATAGTTGCATGATATAAGACGGAAACAGACAAAGCAGCATCCTGTGTGCTGCACGCTCACTCCCACTCGTATCAAAGGCCTCTGTCATTAACATGTATGCAGAAATGTTCCTGCAGTGTGCCAGTGTTGTTCCTCCCACTGTGTCACTGTGTAAACAGTGCAAACATCCACCGAGGCAGCTCGCGCTCTGAGCAGTGTTTACTTTAAAGAGGACAGTATTGTATTTTGTGTATGTTCATTTTATCTCCTTCGTTTTAAACGTACTTTAAGAAGTTTGTAGTGCAGTGAAAATCAGATAATGATAGCCTGACAGATGTTACTTTGATTATAGAAACATTATGTAGGAGCAGGCCATGGATAATAGCTTTAAACCTCCTCTGCAGGAGATCTCTCTGTCCGAGGTGCTCGGGGTCCGAGGCCCCACCCAGCTCTCCGTGCCACCATCAGACGGCAGCGCTCACTCGTTCGAGCTGGTGACGGTGTCGCTGGTGTACTGCGTGATAGCTGGCGAGGAGGGGGCAGCCTGGGAGAGCGCCATCCGGCAGGCTATGATGCCGGTGGAGAGCAGCAGAGGACACAAAGATGAGATCCAGGGTGAGTCAGAAAACATCAGATATTAATATCTTACTCTGAATATGGTAACGGTGATGGATATGGACCCGCAACATTCAGTTAACAAGACTTCCTGTCTCTGATTACAGATCAATACCGATACAGACGCAGTGCGGTAAGATTTGAGCGAGTTTATCGTGCACACGTTAGAGGAGTGTTACAGAGTGTTGAAGTGTGTTTGTGTGCGTTTCAGGACATCAGCTCGGTGTATCAGATCTGTACAGACGAGGTGCTGGGGTCGGGACAGTTTGGCGTGGTGTACGGAGGTCAGCTGATTCTCATTATGTTGTTATGTGCAGAGAACTGAACACGTGGAGTACAAGAAAACCCTGTTTTCTATGACTGTGACTGTCTTTATGCAGTGATCTGAAAATACACAGTACAGAAGAAACAGTTTCAAAAGACACCAAAGAAATCAGAGACTTCAGAGGCTGAAATGTTGCTCAAAACAAACTTTTTCATCAAATGTCTTTCTGTTTTTGCTAAGCTACAAATGCTCCTTTGCTTCATTATCACGTCTCTTTTCTTTTTCTTCTTCAGGAACTCACAGGAAGTCGGGTCGAACAGTTGCCATCAAGGTCATCGACAAGACGCGTTTCCCCACCAAACAGGAGACGCAGCTGAGAAACGAAGTGGCCATCTTACAGGTTTTAATGCGGTTTTTATACACTTTACAAGAAATAACACAAAAAATGTAACAAGTTACTGAAAACACGTGAGGAACAAACCAGGAACAACCTGATGGTTAACCTTTAAAACGATGATCTGTGACATAATTGTCAGAAAATTCACATTTTTTTCAAACTTTTTGCCAACTTATTTAGAATGAATTAAATATTAATTTGCATATATGAGTTTTAATTGGTATCATATTGGCCACATTTGGCTTTTTTTTTTTATTTTTTCAAAATGTATTGCTTAAAAATGTGTTGTGCTCTTTATTTTGGTTTTTGAGGGGAAAATAAAATCACACTGATGATGTAAATGCCTCAAAACCTCATGCATCAAAAACGATATATTAGGCATTAAGGGGTTAAAGAGCCATTCATCATTGCTTTAATAACTCCTGATCCATTACATCACTGTAGAAGAACTAGCTGGGATATATTAGTGACAGTTACTTAATCTGGTTTAAATCCTGATGGATTAACTACGGAAGAGGATTAGGGCCACTGGAAAAAAAATCTGAGATTAAAGTCAGAATTCTGAGTTTTTTCTCAGAATTCTGACTTTTTCATCAAAATTCAGAATTCTGACTTTAATCTCAGATTTTTTGATCTGCTGGGATTTTCCCACACAACCATCACTAGTTTACAGGGAATGGCCTGAAAATGAGACAAATATCCAGAGTCTTCTGGTAAAAACAGGCTCCAGATGTCAGAGGAGAGTGGGCCGACTGCTTTGAGCTGAAAGGAAAGCAACAGTAACTCAAAGAGCCACTCGCCAGGTGCACTCCTGTCAGCTAAGAACAGGCCTGAGGCTAAATCTGCAGTAACCGTGTGATGCTGTCATGACAGTGTGGACCAAAATCTTGCTGTGGAGGAAAAAGGAGGTCCAACCTGCCTAATAAAGTGTCTGGTGAATGTTTAATGATGAACAGATGGTTGTGGACATGATCAGTAAATAATCATCAGTTATTAGTGAGTTATTAGCACAAGTACAAATAACTGTCACATTGTTCCCGATTCCTTCCTCACTGCTTCCTCATTAACTCAACACATTTGATTGAAGTGTTGCAGATTTTCGGTTGATTTTTAGTGTTATAGTCACGATCAGGTGATTTACTGACGTGCGTGTTTTCCAGAATCTGTCGCACCCCGGCGTGGTTCTGTTGGAGGGCATGTTCGAAACTGTCGAGCACGTGTTTGTTGTAATGGAGAAGCTGCACGGAGACATGCTGGAGATGATTCTGTCCAGCGAGAAAGGTCGACTCCCTGAACGCATCACTCGCTTCCTCGTCATGCAGGTACGAGATCCCGATCTGAGAAACACTCCAGGGGTGTCTAGAGGATGTCCTTGTTTTTTTTTTCTTCTTGTTTTAACAAAGATGCAGGGACCTTTAATGTTTCTGTTTATCCCAAAATTAAATGTGAAATTCTCAAACGTGTGCTTCAGATTCTGGAGGCTCTGCGGTACCTGCACTTGAAGCACATCGCTCACTGTGACCTGAAACCTGAGAACGTACTGCTGGCCACTTCAGACCCCTTACCTCTGGTGGGATTTTGCACTTTAGTTCCCGATACAGCACACGGCATCTTATTTAATCAGCTCTGCCTCTGTGCCGCAGGTGAAGCTGTGCGACTTCGGCTTCGCCCGGATCATAGGGGAGAAGTCTTTCCGGCGCTCCGTCGTGGGGACTCCGGCCTACCTGGCACCCGAGGTGATCAGCAGCAACGGCTACAACCGCTCTCTGGACATGTGGTCTGTCGGCGTCATCATGTACGTCAGCCTGAGCGGCACGTTTCCCTTTAATGAAGATGAGGACATCCGGCAGCAGATCACCAACGCCACCTTCATGTACCCGCGCCAAACCTGGGCCCCCATCTCACTGGAGGGTATGAACGGTGTTGCCCTTTCGTTAGCTTCTTTGTGAGCTGGGTTTACAGTTTCTCAACATAGTGATGATGAGAGTTTATTATGCTTTCCCTGTTAAAGGTTTCACACACTACAAACTCCAGGTCGGAAAGTTGCCATGTCAGCCCACAGTTTTGCGTCGTTTTAAACATTTTCTTTAGTTTGATCCATGTCTGCCCACACATACAGTTTATAGTGTCATGCTTGAGTCCTGTTATTCTCCTGGTTCTCCACTGGGTGGCTCCAGTGAGCAAATCCTCTTTTTGAAAATCCTTCTCCGTCTCATTTCCTCCCCAGCTGTGAGCCTCATCAATAACCTGCTGCAGGTGTCGGTGAGACGGCGGTTCACCGTGGGCAAAGCGCTGGGACACAGCTGGCTGCAGGTCGGACACTTTACAAACGCTATCATTGAGAATCGTTTAATTTTGTAGTGTGAAACAACAGAATTAACTCGATCTAGTGTTACTGCGTTCATAGGTGTTGACCAGGATGCTCAGATGCTCCTGATCAGGTTTCTAATAGTCCTGATGTATAGATGTGTATGAGTCATGCACGCTCTCCTCTCGCTACTGCAGAACTTCCAGCTGTGGTGCGACCTCCGGGAGTTCGAGCTCAGGATGGGCTGCAGGTACCTGACGCATCGAGGCGACGAGGACCGATGGCGCTTCTACGCTGCAGAGATGGGGCTGGACTTCCCCTCCCGCCTCTGCTGTGACCCCAACAAAGAATTGGACATGTGACCTCGAGCACAGAGGTTAAGGGTCGGACACTTTATCAGACTGTGCAGCTACATTAAAAAAAAAAAAACATTCAGCAGTGAGGCCGCGGATCAAACGGGAGAAAAGTAATAAAGACACAAACACGTGTGGTTTTAATAATATAATTTTCCTTTTTTATTTTCAAGTTGAGGTTTTTAACATATGACTGAAAGAGTGGCATCAGTGATGAGACAGCATGAGTTAGGGATGAGGGGGAGGAGGAGGAAAATGGAGCACAGATGAGTTAAGATATCGAGATCATGCACAGGGAGGAGCCTAACACAGCGATCGTCGTGGCTGACCTCTTCTCTTCAAATGCTACCTTAAACCCTGTGTTGTGAGTACGCCTGCTATGGTTCCACGTACAGTTTTGATTCTTCCCGTTTCATCCACAACTTTCCTGATGCCCTGTCTGACACCTCTCTCTGTCTCTGTCCCCCTTCTCCTCGTAATTTTACAATTAGCCCAAAAAAAGGCTAAAAAAAGGAGTTTAATAAGAGAGGTGTGTGGGAGAGGTCGCTCTCTCTGGCCATAACAGCTCATCTTTCCGTATCCGTTCCCGAGTCACCGCCCAGCCACGGCGCTCTCCTCCCGTTCCCCCCCACCTGTGTCTTTTAATACTCGGCGCTCCCATTCGTCCTCCGTGTGTTCCTGAGTTTCTTAAGGCTTTAAGATCTCCAGGTTAAATCGCATCTTTGCTAACATTCAGGTTTCACAGTGCTGTGGTGAGAGTTTTCAGTAGCACCCGACAGGCCTCGCTCCTCTGCTGACTGCACTCGTGAACGGGCTCCTGCGGGGGTTCGTGTGAGGGCGAGTCGGTGACTCAAAAGGCCGTTTTTTTTTTTTCTAAACTTCAACATAGCATGCATCTGCACAAATACACAACCAACCAAGCCAACTGACCAATCACGTTTTCTTCTTTGATCACCCTTCTACAAAAAATTAAAAAAAAAAAAAAGGAGGAGAGGGGAAGAGCACACGGCTTTGCTCAAAAATAATCTAACTTTCGTTCTCTCTCGTTGCCTCCTTCTCTTTAAAGCCTTGTGAAGGCAGGTATGTCATTATGTATGCTGCTTACATAAGTTCAGTGCAATAACTGGTACACCTGTTTTTTCTTCTTCTTTTCTTTTAAACGAGAGAGGAGCTGAGCAGCCTGAACAGAGTTTGTGAGGTCTGAGCAAAGTCTTCTGCTCTTCCCCTCTGAGCAGTGTTCCTGTGTTTTAAAAAGAGGGATGGGCGGAGTTAGGAAGAGGGGAATAAAGTTAAGATTTGAGAAGGTGGTGGGGGAAAAAAAAAAAAAAAAGAATAACGTGTTTTAAAGGGACAGTGGAAGGGTTTAAAATCGCTCTCTCCAGACAGGAGAAATAAGAGAAGCTGGGAAGAAGGGGTGAGGAGGAGGAGGAGGACGTGAAGAGAAGCAGCTGCGCTTATAAGTCGCTCTCTCCGTAGAGGGCACTGGAGAAGGAGATGTAGTCCAGGGCGCCGGAGGGACAGTCCGGTCCGACGTACCTGGTCATGCGGGTGATGCAGTACTCCGCCTGCTCGGGAGGCAGCTCCCTGCGCAGCTCCTCCACCGTGATGTAATTCTGCGGGAGAGAGAGAGGGGGCGAGGTGTGATTCACGAGGAGCTATTGTCTCCTGTTACAAATGTGCATCTGTGAGGATCGGAGAACGATGACTCAAGGTTCAGGCAAACAGTCCTGCAGTTCGAATTTAGAAAGATGAAAACCTGAATTTAAATTACGGACTTGCTGTTGAAATAAAGCAGTACAAGATAAATCGCGATGTTTCTCCCAGATTTAAGGGGAAATTTTGCTCTTTGTTTCGATCGGGACACTCAGAGAATCCGGGTTGCGTACGTAATCAAAGAAAAAGCTTGGAGTGAGATAAAGAGTGCTTCTGTATAATTTCTTCCTTGCATACCTGAGTGAGTTGCCTCAGTTTGGACTGAGTTATTTGGGGATATAAGCATTTAGGTGCCACAGCATCACCTCCCCTTGCCAGAGGTGTTTTCTATGAACGTGAACATTTCAAAAAGTCTCATCAACCTACATACAAAGTGTCAACACATCAGTGCCGATACAATCATACCAATGACCAAAAACCTGATTTGTCAGATTTGTTTTTGTTTAATTTATTGAACTTGTTATAATTAAGCCAAATTATACTATTTATTTAGCCTGTTGAGATAGAAACCATATTCATTAATAAGAAATGTGCTGGCTCATAGTTTTTCTTTCAGCTTTCGAAAGCTGGTTTCTTGTTTATTGCTTAAATTTTCACTTCACAAAGCCGACTCCAGCCTGGGTCACTTACAGCCTATCCAGCAACTTGACTTTCTTATAACAAAACCACAGCGCTCCTGGATCACAGCTAATACGTTACTCTCACTGTAAATAGATACTGTATCAGTGGTGACAAGGTGTTTGATACCAGAGCCTTTATGTTATCTGTTTGTGGTCAGAGTTCCCCAAACTCAGTGATTTCTAAAGTGTGGGCTACGAATGAAAGTATGTACAGTTACATATTTATATGAATGTATTTATTTATATAAAAGGTGAATGCAAACTGGTAACAGGAGGAGTTGACTGTGATGTTACTCATTACTCTGAGTGTCCCAGTGGTAGGTGGGTCATACTTAGGATTTAACTCAGCATATGACTGTGTAGCATTAGAGATTTATAGCCAACAGTCTGTGTTTTTTATGTTGTTTTTTTAAAATAAAATTTTCAAGGATAAACGTCACTGTCTCTTGTGTTGATTTCAGATCCATTGAATTTTTTTGTTTTTTGAAGGAGTGCAGTAGCACTCTTGACTTTGGCAATGGCTGCCCTAACCGGTCACATGTTTAGATGCAGGCTAACCATCGGAATTTGAAAGGAAATTATGCATTTCTGAAATGCAATAAACTGTAAATCTGGAAAAGTTTTATTAACATCAGCACTAAAAATGTGTGCCGGGAGCTTCGCTACATGAGTTTCCCTGTCCGTGTCGCTCTTTTTATGTGCCCCAGTACTTTTGTCCATATCAATGTGTCCTCTGGCTACACTGGAAGCTCTGTACAGGCTAAATAAGAAGACTAGTCAATGAACAGTTAGATGATATCAGATATAAGGTAAGAAGATGCTGTATCCATCTGCTCACCTTGTCTGAAGCCAGAATCTTGAAGGAGGCCATGACTTGTTCTGCAGTGTCGGTCTCGGCGGTCTCACGGGTCATGAAGTCGATGAAGGCCTGGAAGGTCACAACGCCCGTGTTGTTGGGGTCCACCAGGGTCATGATACGTGCAAACTCCACCTCACCCTGTCAGCAAAAGCAACAATCAGGAATCGTTACTGCACAAACCAATCAGCAAATCCTTATAGTTTACATTTTAACTACACTCAAGTTGTTGTACAAGTCAAGCCTATGAGCGCCTGACCACTGACCAGATCGTAACCCATGGAGATGAGACAGGCACGGAAGTCGTCTGGGTCCATCATGCCGTTTCTCTTCTGCAAAGGAACAGCACAAAGTATCGCTTTCATTACTGTGCCAAAGAGTCGTAGTAATTAATGAATTCACTCATTAGTGATGCTAAAACATCAATGAGCATGAACTTAAGTGACATATCTAAACTTTTTCAGCCTCTTAAATAGGAAATGCCAAAGGAAAAGTTTGAAAACTATACGAAGCACCGCTCTCTTCTCCTCGACCTACGGTGTCGCCTCACCCTGTCGAAGTGGTTGAAGGAGGCCCTGAACTCGTTGAGCTGCTCCTGGCTGATGCCCTTGGCGTCGCGGGTCAGGATCTGGTTCTCCACCTCGTTGATGGTTCTGGCGATAGTGGTGAGCAGCTGCTCCCAGCCCACACGGATGTGCTGCAGTGGAGAGGGAATGGGAGGAAATTAAAACGGAGGTAGCGTACGCTTTGAGTAGAGAGGAGTGAGAGCTAAGCCCATCTGCAGATCGCGCTGCGGTCTGCATGCACACCTCCATGGTGTAGTTGGTGTGCTTGTTGTCGAAGATGAGGGACTCCTGGATGAGCTGGTGGTCTCCCTCCAGTTTGTCGATGTTGGATTTGTAGTTGATGATGTTCTGCTCGTACTGCTTCAGGCTGTTCATCTGTTCCTCCAGGGAGCCGGCGATGTCCACAGACACGTGGCTGATCTCCTGCAGAGACAGGAATCAATGAGGAAATGCGGCACTCACCATACTTTCACATATTTTACTGCATTATTTTGTAGCAACAGCTGAGCGTTACTGTTCCCACAGATCACGTTGATCCGACCGTGCAGATTTACACACAGCACTGGTTACCCAAGCACCCCCATCTCGTACCTCCATCTTGGTTTGAATCCAGGGTCCGATGATGTTGGCCTGAGCGGCGAACTGGCGCCTCAGTCTCTCATTGGCCTGCTGCCTGGCCACCTCCTCCTGGAGCATTTGGTCTCTGAGGGGCACGAGGTGCTTCACCTGCACACACAGTTTATATCTGGTGACTGTGTGTAACTTACATTATTACAGTTTACTTAAACATGTTGTCACCTCTTCCATTTCTACGCTTGCATCACTGCATCTTTAAATTAACCGAATGTTGCTGTCACTTTTTCCAAGTCTGTATACATAGTTTTTCACTCCAGATTGTAACTTCATGATTGCCCAGATAGAAAGAAAAAAAATTTGTCTCTTGAGCACAGATGGTCTGATGTGTGTCGCACTACGGCTGCACCGACAGGCTGTCCTGTGGAGTTATTTTGATTTCCCCTGAGAGCCTCACAGCCAGCAGTGCTGAGTGTCACTCTAACCCACATGTACTGTACTATTCCTGACCTGTCGCTATCTTTGCACTGTGCTAATATTAGCTGGATGACCAAATGGAGTGTACACAGAGAGAGAGAGAGAGAGCCAGGTTGACATTTGCTGCTACATAATGCTAACTTGCTGAAAGCAGATTAAAGAGCAGCCACGCTCCTCATTGTGTCTGCGATATAATAATTAATTTGCTCCTTCTACAAACGCTGTGTTCGTGGGGTCCGTTTGACTTGACTCACAGTGTCCCACTTAGTGCTGATGTCCTGGGAGGAGAGGTTGGTGTACGGGTTGATCCCGGACAGCTTGATGCCGTAGGTCTGGGCGATCTTCAGGATCTCGTTGTGGATGCCCAGAGTGGCCATGCGCTCCTTGTCGGCCTCGGGCAGAGTAGCCTTGAACTGGTCGTGAGCTGTGATCAGACTCTGTGTGCGAGGAAAACAAATATAAGATGGTGTATTAGAAAAAAGAAAGACAGAGTGTATGTATTTTTGTACAACTTCTTCCTTTGGTACAGATTTAAATGTCTGAGAAAAAGAAAAGAGCCTGGTTCTGCTGGAGGTTTCTTCCTGCTAAAAGGGAGTTTTTCATTCCCACTGTTGCCAAGTGCTTGCTCACAGGGAGTCGTCTAATTGTTGGGCTTTCTCTGTATTATTCTAGGGTTTCTATCTTACAATATAAAACAGTGTGAGGGGACTGTTGTTGTGATTTGGTGCTATATAAATAAAACTGAATCAGATGGTTACCTGGATCTCTTCAATGCTGTGGACAATGAACATGTCCTGCAGGTCCTCCATGGCTCCGTCCATCCAATTGTTGAAGGGTGCCGCACGCTTGGCGAACTCCAGGTACAGCTGGTCAATGGTCTCCCACAGCTTCTCCACACGCTGCCGTCACACACAGAAACACACTCGTGATGCTGAAGCAGACGTGTGCATACAAACACGGAGGGAATCTGCCATTTGCACTCTCCGTGTTGTTTTTGTCACTCCTCGCTGAGCATCGTGAAAACATTAAGCCGAATTTGCCGATAAAAATCAAGACGTCTTGAATCACATTAGCTGTATTTGTCTGGTGTCCTGTGCTTATAAAACCTCACAACTTCACAATTTCCAGATCTTTCTGCCTACTTCCTGTAACTCTGTCACTTCCTGTAATCACTGGTATTCTGCTTTTCAGTCTGTTCACATGGAAACGCTCCTTTGTCCTCTTTCCCACCATGTTTCCGCTGCTTTCTGATCTCAGAGAGCTGCCCACGCTTTACCTGCTGCTTCTCAACTCTCTCCTTTTTGTCCCTACACTCTCCTCCTGACCCCCTGCTCTCTCTGAGGCAGACGGCCACCCCAGAAACTCGTTCAGCTGGAGGTGTTTTCTTGCTTGCTCGCAGCGTATTGTTGAGTTTCTATTTATAATATTCGAACCATATAAAAGTGTACTCAGATCTCTGGACCTGTGCACTACAACTGAAGCTGAAATGACTTTCCTCCACTGCCGCCTGCTCCGAGTGTTGGCCTCTAATCACCAAAACTCAGATTCATATTACACTAATCAAAATTTTATCTCTGTGTAAAACATGTTATTTTATTTTTAGTTTCCCACACTCTCAAAATCATTTATGTAATTTTTTTTAGTGTCACTCTTATTATCCAATCGTCTAAGCCTGACCACACCCTCCCAGCCAATCAGCTGCTAGCCCCTGCTGTGTACAATAACTGCAATCAGCAGTTTTGCACCACCTGTTGTGCATCCCGCATCCTCCCCATCGCCTCCCTCATCATTCATGCACTAATTTCCACTCATCCAGCTCAGTCCCAGGAAGGCTGGAGACGATCCCAGCTGTCTTTCCAGACAAAAAACTGCAACATGTTCAGTGAGTTGTTTACATAAGCAGCTGATTGCTGTTTAGTTTTACCTCCAGTGAATCCCTCCTCTTCTGGGTGAGAGTGCCCAGATTGTCCCACTGGTCACAGATACCCTGGCAGCGGGTGTTGACTGTAGCAGCATCGTGGTAGTCCAGCTCACTGGAGAGAGGCAAACAACAAAACAGACGAGTACATAGACCGTTATCACACAAATATTTACAAAATGGTAATAATATTAGCTGAAACTCAGCTAAACCCGCTAATAAATCATCATTACGAATAATCACGTTTGTCAGATGAGTGAAACTCTCCTTTCAGTCAGTGTAAAGAAATTTAGCTGCACGTTTAACCAATGAGATTTCTTAATATAAGAAAAACAAGCTGAATATAAACAGTGTGTCTCAGTTGTTCTACATGATAAAGTTTAAGCTCTCTGGAGTTAAATATTAAAAAATGAAGTTAAAAATGAGAGAAATCTATAATTAAATTACTTTGGTGTGGTATGAATAGCCAACAGTTCAAAGTCTAAAATGTTTGTCCTCTTTCACATTTTCCAAAGCCGTCCAGTGGGTCGGATCAGGGTCTTCACTGGGCCGATTCTGGCCCCCCGGGCCTTATGTTTGACACCCCTGATCTAAAGTAAGGTAAAGTTGAGGAAACTCTTCTGTGAAGTGATCTCATTTCTCCAAATAACCCGAATATTTGATGCCCTTTTATTAAATGCATTGATATTTCGCCCTCCTTTGAGTTGAGGGGCATCTAAGAACTTTTCTTTCTTGATACCGAGGTCATGATTTGTGCTTTTGAAGTCCTCGCTGATAAATTATACTGTACATTTTTTCAGCTTTACAGTGCCGATCTGCTCATATACTGTAACATCAAAGAAATCATCTCAAGGCTATCTCGGAGAAAAAAAAAGCCCCGAGGAGCTGCGGAGGATAAGTAAACGGCGAGATCAGAGGTTTCCGCTCTCTCGTGAAGCACCCTTTCATCTTTCTTATCTCTCATTAATATTTTCCACTCATCTGTTGCATCTTTTGTTCCTGGCTGCGTTCGCGTTCTCGTCTGCTCTCGACATCCCTGCCGTCACTTCAGCTACTCGCTTTCTTCCCCTGCTCTTCTTCCCATTATGCTGAATAATTGGGATAATGCTTTCTCCACCCCCGCCCCCACCCATCATGATTTTCAACATCTCTCTTCCTCCCCGTGACCTTAACGTCCGGCATTAGGACACATCTCGTCACACGCTCTCACTTCAGCTCCTGGGCGATGGCGGCGATCTGCTCCACCCTGTCCTGGTGAGCGGCGAGGTCGCTCTCGAAGGCCTCGTGCTTCCTCATCAGGGCTCTGATCTCCATCAGAGAGGCCGACTCGTAGTCCTTCTGGGACAGAAGATCCTCCTTACCTGAAACACACACACACACACAGTTACTTTAAAGACGGTAACAAGTAAAAGTCGGGCCCACAAGCTTTTAAAGTTTTACAGCTCTCGCTCAGATTTTTATATCTCCCACTCGCTGTATCGTTTCAGTGTCCCCATGAATCATTAGATCCTTTTTAATTGCTCTGTATAATCTTACTGGGCCATTTATGGTGCTTTGATGTGGTTTTGAGGGTTATCTTTTGCTGCTTTGCCTTATTACACAGTAAAGTGTGAAGACTCGCGATTAACGGAGGTAAAAAAAAGCTACAAAACAAGAATAGTTTGATACGTCAAATATAAAAACAACGAGGAGAGGACAAGAGCATGTTTAATATTCGATAAATGTTTCTTTACACAAAAAGGCGACCTTTCAATCGTCGAGTCACTGTGTAAATGACTACGCTAAGAAGGATCCGCATTTGTCACTCTTTAAGGAAGCAAACAGTAAGTAACATTTTATATAAAGAGCTTTTCGCCGATAAATCACAAAGTGCTTTACAACAAAGAAAATGAAAAGAATGGAAATGCAACAAATAACAATGTAAAACAGTAAAATACAACAAATTAATTAAAAGCTTGCCTATATAAAAATGTCTTCAGCTGCTTTTTAAACGAATCAATGGCGTCTGCACAGCGTAAAACCAGCGGGAGAGAATTTCACAACCTCGGTGCCGCTGCCCGAAAGGCCCGATCACCAAAAACTGGAGTGATATGAGATCTTTGCTTGGTGCGAAGATCTCTCTTTAATTCAGTTTATTTATATAGTGGCAGCACTATATAAATACAAATAAAATACAAAATCTATCCACCACCTACCTGTAGTCCAGGCCTCGTGCATGGCGCACTTCTGCTTGAACTTCTCGGCCAGGTGGTCGAGTCTCTCCAGGCGACGGATCTCTGTCAGCAGCCACTCCTCGTAACCCTTCTCCACCTGCTCCAGACCTTTCCAGGCATTTGCGATGTCCTGAAGGAGAGGGAGCGCTTTCATTATTACCCTGTGCTGAGGAGGAGGAGTGTTAGGCGTATTATCGACACGTTCGAGGGGAATTAAGAGCTCGCGGCGGCCCGCCGTACTCTGACTCTGAATTGATTTGAGATTGTAGACCTTGAGAGGTTTTTAATAGCTGTAAATTTCTCAGAAAGCAGCAGCTGAAAAGAGAGTCTCTTTGAAGTTTTGCTTTATACAAAGAAGATGATGAAGAAACTATTTTTTTCTTTTTATCCTTTTATCCTTCTTCTTGACTAATTTGAGCTGAATCTGGGTGAATGTTTGGGCTGGATCGTACTCCACTCACCCTTAGGTGGAAGCTTGCCTGCTGGTGGGACACTATATGTGGAAGTCCCTGTTGGTGACAAACTACTAGAAAAGATTCAGTGTGCTCATTATCTCTGTTTTATTCCCCGATGATGTGTTGGAGTCATTACATAACCTTGCCATGAAAATAAAGGAATTTTGATTTTATTTTGAAAGGGGAGTGCTTTGGTGTTGTCAAAGAGCACCAGGAACAGAAGTACCCGTGTCTAACCACCAACTGAAGTGTGACTTTGTTGTTTTGGTCTCTTTTTTCAAACTCTACGTCTCATAAAATCCTTTCCAAAGTAACACACAAAGAATTTAATCTTTCAACTGATGTGTGAGCTTGAAAATCCAGAGTGATGCATTAAGTCGTCCTCCTTGCTCACCGACACCATCTTGCCCTCAGAGGGCATGAAGGCGGGCCTGTTGCTGAGCCTCAGCTTGGTCTGCAGGGTGTTGAAGTTGATCTCCAGCTGGCATTTCTCCTGCACGCGGGGCGGCTTGTGGACGCGACGGTAGTCACGGAAATCCTCCAGCTTCTGCTGCATGGCGCGCATGGTCTGCTCCGCCACACGGTTCTCCAGCCAGGGGATGGTGCGACGGATCCACTCGAGAAGCTGCAGAACAGACACGCAAAGGTTACTCAGAGTACTCTGATTACTTCAGTCTGCAGTTTACATGCACACCCACACACATCATATGACCTGTATGACCTACATTCTGTATGTCTTTAGTGAAAGAAAGTCTTTATTTAGGGTCATGTTTATGCGACAGATCAAGCTGCTATATATGACAGACACTCGCATGTTTCTGATTATTTAAAGATATAATGCTGTGCAAAAGTCTTGAGCCACCCTTCATTTCCGTACATAGGAAAAAGTTGCTCATATTCCACCGCACTTTCTGCATAAATGCGCTTAGTTGTCAACTTTCCCTTTTATGCTTCTATAACTGAGAAAAAAAATTGATTTTCATAAAACGACTTCAGTGAAGGAGCAGAAAGAGTGAGGAGAAGTGTGGGACAGACTGAGAGTGGGAGTTGTGCGGTCGCAGCGGTTTCTCACCTCGCTGGCCAGCTTCTCGTACTCCTCCATCAGTTTCTCGTTCTCCTGGTTGACGGCCAGCACCTTGCAGATACGGTTGGCAGCTGTCTCGGCCTGAGAGGGAGAGTAGCAACAGCTGATTTACCCCAGATTCACGCAGCTCGCACGTTTACTCAGCGCTGACGTTACGTCACGATGACCGCGTTTCACGTGTGTCATCTGATTTATTCAATTACAAAGGGAACACTTGCTCATTCGGTTTGTGCGCCGAGCTCGTCGATCCACAGAAAAATAACAACATGAAACGTGGAGAAGTGAGGCGACACCGGCTCACCTGTTCTGCGCCGGCGAAGGCGTGGTAGAAGCAGGACACGTAGGTCATGATGGCCTTCTCGTCAGGTTTGGGTGTGTTCACGATATCTGAAGGTGCAAAAACAATGTTGAGCTTTATTATTATATTATTTTAAAATAGTCTTGGCAAAGGTTTGAAAGAATGATCCGCAGGGCAGGAAAGCAGAGCAGACGTTTGATTCGTTTTTACTGCATTTTATTCTGAAAAGCCACTTTGTCAGGTTTAAAAAGCGTTTTTTAAATAACATTTTTATTAAATATTTAAAAATCTGATACAGCTTAGTGTGGCAATATTGTATCGATGCAGGGACACTAAATATTTCACTAAAGAACCAGAACTCATCTCACCTGGTAGGAAGCAGCCACAGTCTGACCTGGACTGACTGCAGTCACTCTCAGAGAGACTGATCAAGGTTTGCAAATAACTTAGAAATGCAGACAGATTACCAACATGCTGCCATCAGTCTGAACGGATCTTTGATCCTAACTGGCTGCCAGCTGTTTGTGTCCTCGTTATATTTCTGTAGACCAGGAGGTTTACTGAGTGCAACTGTCACAGTTAAATGTGAATTACTGACGTAAACAGCAACAGACGTGAGTTTTGAGTTTTTATTGCAGTTAATTGTCAGAAACAGAGTGTGTGTAACTGCAAACTTGGTGACTGGTGACTCCCACCTCAGTTAAATATGCTGAATTAAAATGTGACCGTGAAGCGTAAAGAGCATTATGATTTATTCTTGCATTAATCACTCGTTTTAGGACATCTGCCTACAAAGCAGTCATATTTCCAAGGTCAGAGCCGCTGGTTCCTGAGTAGATGCATTTAAAGTGATTTAAAATGCATTCGTTTTTTCAATGAAGATGATTGAATTTTCCGAGCAAGCCGGAGCCACCATGTCTGCCATCATGCATCTCGCTGCAGCTGAGCTCATCACCGTGTGCGTCAGCATAACAAGACAGAACCCGCTTCCTGCACTGCTCCGTCACGTTGACGTCTCGTGGCCTCACCTTCAGCGTCGAGCATCTTCGGGATGTCCAGGTACTTCTCAGCCACCTCGAAGGCGGTGTTCAGGTTACCGATGGGGTCGTCCTGAAGAAACACACAATCAGTGTCACACACAAAAGACTACACGGGGAAGCACGCCAGCCACGACAGTTCTGATGAGTGTTTTGAAGGCGAGAAATAAACCTCATTAAGAAATGTTTCAGTTTCAGAGTTTTGGCAGGATTTTGGCGAGCAAACAGCAGCGCAGTTTCCAATTCTGTCGTATCACATCCAACTTTAAGGGATGCAATTTTGGCAAATATTCTTATTAACACTCTTAATCAAGCTTGTGATCTACAAGTGCAGTATTGTGATGGGTTGTCTTTTTGGGTTCTTTTTAATAATCAGTTCACAGGAAAAAATATTTCTAACAGAGCTTCAATGATGAAAGTGAAAAGACATAAAAAGACTGCATTAATCAAGGTTCAGTATAAAGGTTGAAAATAGAGGGGAAAGTAGAGAAGGATGGGCCACCTTTCTCAGTTTGGAGTAGTCAATGAGGTCGGGTCTGTGTCTGTGGATGAGGGCACACAGGGCCAGGCCATCCTTCCAACTGAGAAGAAGAAGAAGAGGAAGGAGGGAGGCATGAGTGAGGAAACAGCGGCAGGCAAAGAGGCGTGAGGAGAAAAGAAGGAGAGTAGATGATCAGTGGGTGACATGGAAGGAGGAAAACATAAAGAGGAAAAGAAATCAGCATCAGACAGAAGTATAAGCTGAATGATTGCAGTTCCCTGCTGATGCCACAGGTCGGCATCGCTCACCCACCTAATGTGGAAGTTCTGTACATTGACGTTCCTGTAGGGGGCAGTCTTCCTCTGGCACCACAGCAGCAGACCCTCCTTAGCAGAGGTCTCTGAAAAAGTTGAGAAGAGGAGATGATTTTAGATGAGGGTTTGTGTTATTTTGAACATTAAGAGAAGAAGAATAACAGTCAGGAAGAGGATGACAGAGAGTGATTGGGGCTGTCAAAAGTTTAAATACTGCACAAAGATGTTTAGGATCAAGATCTGGCATTAAAAAAAGCTGTATGATGTTAGCAGCAGTCAATATATTTCTCAAGCTCGTCTGACGGGTGGCTTAAAGATAATTTCCTGCACTAGTGGAGGGAAGAGGAGTTATGAGAGGTTAGAGCGAGGTCGATGGCGAAGAAAGTCAAGCTGTATGACAGCAGAAGAAGATTGAAGAGCGGAAGCAATAAAAGCTAAGCTAAAGGAGATGACTTGAAGGTAAGTGGGGGCGTGGGGGTGTGGGGGCGGAGTGTGGAAGGACAGAGTGAACAAGGTCGGAGTCTTTGTAAACAAGAATTTATTGTGGGTTGACCTGCTGACAGCATTAAGGTTAAAATAAAATGGCATGAGGTGCAAATGCAGCCCAGGGGTGGGATTACCAAACAAGGAAGCAACAAATCACCCCACACCCACACACACGCACGCACACACACGCACGCACAGAGTTAAAGGCATTAAATCTACTACACTCATTTCCAGCTTCATCGTTTTATTCTACAACTGCATCCACACTGGAAGCGCTTCACTCTCTGTGCATCGCTTTGAAGCCCGCGGCTGGTTGCTTAGGATATTCCAGGCTGTCGTTGCCTAGGTGACCCTCTAATATATTTACTACCAGGTCATGTGCCAATCATCGGCGTTCTTAACTTTCATGGGTAGTTGTTTCAGTTGCTTGGCTAAAGTTTACTTCTGATCGTGCCCACTTCCTGTCCACAGTGGTACCTGTAGCTCTGCTGCATGTCATTCACTTTCTGTGGTCATTGGTTGCTATGGTGCTGCAAATCATTTCCAGTGTGCACGCAATTTAAGATATTATTACATTACTTAAGATAGCTTTGCATGACCATACAGTTTGAAATAAGCTCTATATAGCTAAAACTGGGCCTTGGTTCATTCTCTGTCAGAAACTAGACATTTTATTTCCTCTTCCTCTTTGATTGGCTTTCCTTTGCAAACAGAAGATGACCATATTAGGACATCTGCTCTTAGTGACGTCATACAGAGCTGAGAGTAGAATGGTCTGAAACTGAGTGCTGAGAAGTCTCAAGGAGATGTTGAATATGAGCATCTACAGTTTTAACAGTATATATACACGTGTGTGTGTGTGTGTGTGTGTGTGTGTGTGTGTGTGTGTGTGTTGTTTATCTCATTTCCTAAGAAGATGACTCAGAATGCCCTTCACAGATTTGACTGACTAGACATATCCAAGCTGCAGTGCTCGTGCTGTTGGTTTGCTTTCATAAAGTGCATAAAGGCAAAAACACAGGTCATTTTAGCTCATTGCTAGGTGGTTGCCAGGCAACATTTTGGCATCATAAAACATTATGCACAAATTAAGAGTTGCGGATATAAGCTAAATGTTATTATTGTGAAATAAAAATGATATGGTGCTTTTATAAAGTGTTGTAAAGCTGAAAACGGTGCTTCAGGGGCCTGAGATGCACCTGTGTGCCAAGTTTGGTTGTTCAGCTCCTGATTGTGTGGGAGGAGTTGGCAGCCAAAGAAACAAATAAACACACAGAGATTTTGTGTATTCTAGCAAGATGTGTTTAACTTTGCGTTCACGTGACTGTGTTTGAGACACAGACAACTGTCTCTGTCTGTTGTGCTCAGGCATGGTGACTGCTCCAGCAGTTTGGCCAAACTCTTACAAAGACTAATTGCAAACTCATAACTCGTACATTATCTCACTATTTAAGTGACAACCACTAAAAAAGTTAATTTAAGCTTAAAAAATTCAGTGTTGCTTTATGGAAACACACCTTCCACAGAGATGTCCTGGATGGCAAAACGCAGGATGATGGTCCAGATCATACCAAGAGTCATCTTCACGTTACCGTCGACGATTTCTACAAAACCAAACACACGGACGCGTGTTACTCGTCTTAGCAGATCCTGATGAATTAATCAGATAAAACTCAGACTCATTTTAAAGGTCTTGTCTCACCCTCAGCACCAATAGACACCAGCTTGACCCCCTTGCTGCAGATGAAGTCCAAAGCTTTGTTAACGTTGGCGATCTTGTGGAAACGCATCTTGCCTTTGTCGGGTTTGGGCAGCCTCTCACCTGAGAAAGACGAGGAACAGATTTATTAGCTCGTCCATCAAGCTGATCAGTAGTTTTTTTTTTTTAAGCTAAGTGTCAAGGAAAAATACACCATCTCCAAGAACATGTGATCTCAATTTTACTTGTTTGTGTTAGTTTATTTACCAAAGAACACAGTTATGAATTATAAGAGTAATTCCATTCATGAAACCTGCAGAGATGTAGCCAATGTGACACCACCTGTTACTATGTAGTCTACAGTTTTCAATATTCTGTTACTATGTAACAGAATATTGAAAACTGAGCTAGTTTTCAATATTCTAGCTCAGGATTTTGATCATCACCATCTCAGTTTTTTTGGTTTGCTCGTTTTTAAACCAGACATCACAAAAGACAAGTAGACCTGCCAGGGAAATGCTGCGAACCAGTCAATCACAAGGTAGAACCGCCTACTTTATCCTATACAGAGTTTAAAAAGAATGATCCGACTCCAAAACGCTGTAATCCTGCAGTGTTCACTGGTAACATTTGACACACGTACTGTTAGAAAGCGCAGATTCATGAGTTTCACGTGGTTGCTGGCAGGTAGCGACGGAAGTATTCAGCCATACATTTTAAAATTTACCACAAGTTTCTATGTTCGTTACTTTTACAAATAAAGCCTTTTGAACTCAGATGATTCTTTCTGATACAACAGTCAGAAATGAAAAAAATATGACTTAAAACTTGAAATAGAAACTAACACTGAAAGTTTTCATTGATGTCATAAAAATCACGTGAGCAATAGTTTAATGTTCCTCTTAGATTTCTTTACAGTCAGACTTTGTTCAGTCTCCCCCTGGTGGCCACAAGAAAGAATGCAAGTACTTTATTTGTTTTTTAAACGTCTCCATCTTTGAGATACAGTCTCTTCTTATTTTCAACTAACTGTTTTAAAACAGATTTTTTTTTGCTATTATATATAAAGTGATGATGACTGCTGGATTTTATGGATGGAAGAAGGTAGAGTGTGGGAGTGAAACACAACAATGTTTAGGCGTGTGAGCAATCAACATCAGTCTCATTCTACAAAGAAAATGACAAAAAAAAGAAAGAAAAAGAAGTGTCACCAAAATAGCAAAAGATCTGCTCTTTTTTTACCACAAGGATGTGCCAAATCCAAGTATGTGATCCGGTATCATTCAGTTTTTAAATGTGTATACATGCATGGGTGTGTGCTCTCAATGACATCCACCTGATATGACCTCCAGCAGCAGCATGAGTTTGAGGCCATTTCTGAAATCCTCTTCAATGTTCTCAATCTGTGTCCCGGCCTTCCTCAAGTGGGAGTTACACCAAGCTGTGAAGGTCTAAAGGAGAGAAGAGACGGAGGCTCACAGGTCACATGTACCACATATTACGCATTTGCATTCACAGACTTGACCTGCCGTGCACACCACATACATCACACAAAGAGCCAGAAACACACGGTTTTACGAACTCACACACACAATTTGATGCTTCCTCTTTGAAACCGGGGTCACAAAATGCTTCGCGAGGCCCGAGCTGTCCTCTTTAATCTGTGACCTTGCTGCGACTGCGGCTGCTGACGGAGAGCGGGCGCAGTCACACTCTGACACTTGTGTCAGTTTGACGGCCGCTTGATCTTAGTTCAATCTGACTTTGGGCTCAGATCATTCTGACGTGTGCTTTTTGAGGCTGTGGAACTTCCCAGATGAATTCATAAGAGGATGAATGACGCTCACTGTAATAAACAGGTGCAATCTGGAGAACTAACATGTGATAATTACCAAGAGGTGTTTGAGTCATTTGTATGCTTGGTTTAACTAATAATGGATGCATATCTGGACACTTTTGCATTTTAATTAGGACTCTGCACTTTAGGAAAACATGTGCACACCAAGAAACATACTTTCACATGAGAACTCTTAAATATTTAATGATTATTTATTGAACATTTTAATGATTCTATTCTCCAGACACATGATGTAGGATAAAGAGATAATACTAGCCACCAATTCTGCTGATTAGCATGTGTCCCAGGGGGTCTAAAGACTATTTAAAGATTCTGGGAGAGACCAAGGTGGAAAGGGTGGGGGGAGTTGCTGGGGTTGCCAGTGGGCTGCCAGTTGGCAGTTAGAAGGTATACATTTGCTGCTGGTAGAGGCTGCCACGTTACGCTGGTGAACTGAAGCCTCGATAAATAAATAAAACAAACTTGTGCTGCTCAATGGTCATTTGTTACACATGCAAAGACTCCTCAGCATCAGCACCATCCATTTCTTAAACAGCTGGACATTCAAGTGCAGTAAAGTGAAGTCTGCAAGTGTTCAGGAAGGTACCCGTTATTAAAAAATTAAAAAAAAAAAAAAAAAATCACACATTTTACTCGGGCGCTACGTCTTTCAGTAGCTACAAATCACCCGTTTTGGAAACCAAGCTGCTCACTGAGTGATGGTGGCGTGTGTAATAGACAGAAATGGCTCTTAAGCGTTGAGTGCTTGCCTTCGGTCTGTCTGGAAAACTGCCTAATGGCGTCAGGCGTACGTGCAGGGGACAATTCAGTGCGCCATTCAATCAATCAATCAGCCGCTGAAAGGTATTTCTGAGAGGCTTTCCATGCTGTTTAGCTTTAATCTGAAAAAAAAAAAACAAACGTGTGTGTGCGCTTGTGTTCAAACTCAGGGGTGTGAGTGTGCGTTAGGGCTTCTGCTGTAGAGCCAAAACTTTGCCAGGGTTTGGAGGATGCGGGGGTGTCGAAGCAGAATAAGTACATGAGCTGAATAACTAACTACAGATGATTGTGTGGGTGGAGTGAGGAGAGACGCAGAGAGAGAGGGATGTATAAATTAGCAATGAAACAGGGTTTGTGCTCAGTAGGTAAAAACAAATTTCCCAACACAGCAAAGCACATTAAATAGCCCAGGAATCAAAATGCATGTGCCCTTTAAAGTAAGTGGGTGTGTGTTTATGCCTATATGAGCTTCCGGGCCTCGCGTCTGCATCTGCCTGCGCGGACAGAAAAGCAAAGACGCAAAGTACCAGAGACACAGATAAGACAGAGATGTCTGAGTGGAAGAGGAGAAAAAGTCGCAAATTAGAGTGAAGGGAAAGTACAGCATGTGGGGGAGAGTAGACACTGCTTATCTCTGCATGTGCTCTAGAGCTGAAATTATTATCTAATTAGTTGATGAAGTGAAAAATGAATTAACCTGATGACTAATTGAAGCAATTTTTCAAGCAAACATGCTTCAAATTTCCTTGTTCCTGTTTCACAGCTCTAATGATTTTCTGCCCCCTGTTATGTAAATGCAAACTGAACATATTCATCATTTTTTGACATTTTATAGATAAACCGTTACATAAAGAGTTTTCAGGGCTGGCTCTGCTTCACTCACACTGATTTTCTCTCCTTCCTGGAGGAGACTGGTGATGGGCTGAAAGTTTCTTATAATTAAACGGATGCAATGTAAGCATGTGATGATTTATAATATACTTTATACAGAGTTGCTTAGAAGCCAATATTCAGTTTGACCACCTTTATTCTTCAACACAGTCTGAACTCTCTTAGTCAGTCTTTCCATTTCTTTAAGCAGGAATAGTTCTCCAGGCTTCTTGAAGGACATTCAAAGCTCTTCCTTGGATGTTTCTGCCTTTTGTTCTGTTCTCTGTCGAAATGATCCCACACTGCTACAGTGTTGAAGTCAGGGCTCTAAGGAGGCCAATCCACAATGGCTTTTATTGCAATGGCAGTCTGTTTGCTGAAAAAAGAAGCCGTTTCCAGATGATATTACATGGTGCTCAAAATCTGGTGGTACTTTCTGTGCTCATAATTCTTCAATTTTGGCAAAATCTCCAACACCACTGGCTGCAATACAGCCCAAACCATGACAGAGGCTCCACTGCGTTTTACGGGGGACTGCAGACTCACAGTTGTACCTCTCTCCTGACCTGTGCACATACCGATGATGTAAAATCTGGATTCGTGACTTCATCACACCTGTTGCTATCGATTTTCAGTCCAGTTCTTGTGCAATTTGGGATGCCTCAATCATCATGTTTCTTAAGAATGGCTTCTTCACAGCCACCCTTCCACTGAGACACTAAATGGAGTACCTGAAGAGCCGAATGCAGGTCCTGTATCAGATCTTTGCTAGGTTTTTTCCCCCTATTTCTTAAGAATATGACTTTCAAATACTGTCCATCTGCTGCAGAGAGCATCTTAGGCCTGAGAGGCCTTCTTATGTCCTCCACTAGTCCAGTTTCCTATTTTTTTTTAAAGGAGAGACTGCACATCATGCCAAGGTTTCTGCTTACAGCCCTTTGGGAATCTTTGGTATTTTGCTTAAATTCAGCTAAATAAATGGGAACAAGTTGTGTGTTTTTACGAGAAGCTGCTAATAACAAATTTCCTAAAGATACAAATTAAAATCGGTTCTTTGCCAAGTTGTCTGTTATGTGTATTCACAACACTTGATCACCACTAGAAGCCTTTTTTAGGCTCAGGCGATTCATGGGACATGTATACATTAAAAAAAGGCCAAAAATGATTAACTAAACATTATGAGTTCGAATGCATGTTTTTGACTTAAAAAAAACTTTTTTGAAGACTAAGAAAAATAACTTTTGATGTGATCTTAGGATCAACGGTCATCAGCAGTGTTGGTCAAGTTACTTGAAAAAAGTAATCAGTAACTAATTACTGATTACTTCCCCCCAAAAGTAATCCCGTTACTTTACTGATTACTTATTTTCAAAAGTAATTAATTACTTAGTTACTTTTTAAAAACACGATTTACAACCTGAAGCTGTGATAAAGCGATAGATCTTTCAGCCCAATTCTACTTTTTCTACATAATTCATCATACAAAATATAATCAAATGAAAAAGTCTCTTTTTAAAACTTGTTTTATCAGTTTTAATCTTTTAACTTTATGCATCAAGTAAAAATTAAATTATATGCAACATTCTCTGACTTGAATAAATTAGTTTAACATTTAAACCTATTTTCTGCACATTCCAGCACATAAAATAAAATATTTTTTTGTGTTTACACTCACTCTTTCAAATAGATGCAAGTAAAACACAGCAGAACATAAATTAAGTCAAAGACTCAGCGGTCCTGTTGCTCTATTTTCACCTGTAAAGCAGGAGCAGGGTAGGCGGAGGTTTACCCTGGTGCAGGTGTGCCGCGGTCAGTGGAAGAATCCGCGAGTTTCTCTGTGAGTTTCCCATTACGTCGTTG